CTGATTTCACTTTAATATCCCCATTCACCACCATAAGCCCAAAATTTAATAATTACTTATTTCGACAATCCCACGCGAATTCACAAAAACCTCCAATCTGACTTATTTTCTCTCTCCCAGACCATATTCGTATATATATTTTTTTGATTACACCACCGCATTTCATGCAACATTAAGCTAATATAAATTATCTCCGGTTTTATCAGACGTAAATGTCAAAATAAAAACGAAACCTGACTTTGTTACATTTTTTGTACGAAAAATCTTACATTGAGAATAAAAATTGGAGCATCGATTGTGTCACAGCTCGTTAAGTAATTTAAAATATTTCATTTGGTTCATGTTTCGGTATTCGAGTTCTGACTGGATAATCAAGTTTACACAAAACTGAAATTCAAACCATCTACACCTTGGCTTTAAATCTCAAATACTAAGCACATTTCCTCTTTGAGGATACCGGATGTTTCTAAAAGTAGCGACGTATTTTCTTCCTTTTTCAGTTCACGAACAAAGAACTTGCTACAATGCAATGCTACAAATTTAAATTAACATGACGTGGGAAAATATAATTTATAACAAAGGGAAAATAAAAATGAATAATGTGATCAAAATTATAGGCTTTGATGAATTAATTTGTGTAATAATTTTTATGCAAATATCTAATGCACCGTATGGAACATTCAATAAGCACATTTTTGTTGTCTTTTATACATCACAAATTTAAATTGAGTTTCAGCTCGATTTTGTAAATATACATTTATTCATGAGACTTTGAAATACACATAAAAGCTTTTTAAGAAATGATACGTCTCGATAATTTAAGTGGATATCAAAAAATTATTGCTATTTTTTATCCAAGTATCAGTGTAGTGCATTCACAGATTTTTAATTGTGCTCTAGACTTGAAGAATTATTCTACTCTTGCTATCCTCCAACACATTTAGCATATTAATGAAAGCGTTAAGTGCTTTAATACGCTGTTTCTCAACAAGAGGTGATAAGTCTTGTGTGCAACTCGATTATTTACAAGTCTGGTTTAAATAAAAGAACGAAAAGCTTTTTACTCGTATAACTGTGATTTAGTTTAAGGAGTGGCACTTAATTTCGTTGTTTTTTTCCAAGATAATTTACACATCGATACCCAGAAGTATCTAAGTTTAAAAACTAACAAGTTTTCAAGTTCCGATTAGATTGCTTCTAGCTCAACTGACAATTAATGCCTCTGGGTCATTAATTACATTCTCCCTGTTGGTCCACTCTAGTTAGAAACGCGCTACCCCTTTATTCTTTCCAACTCTGCCCCCTTTAAGCCTGTTCACTCTTCTACAGAATGAAATCCCATGGAAGCTGATCTATAAATTCATTCATCTCCAAGAATCCACTAGAGTGTTGCTTTTATATTTGTTTAGGTGGCGCAAACATCTACAATTTTTTTGTTTTAAGTGAGAGAGTACAAGTTTTGAAAAACACCTAGTGATAATTTAATTTGCAAGTGACGAGAGTTTGGAAAAATTTGATTTTTATATTGCTTCAAGCTCGCGGCTCTCTGTCGAAAATTGTCCACGGATGAGTGATAAAAAAGCTCAAGAGAAACAATAAAAATCCAACTCAGGTATACAAGTGTGCTTTTCTTATGTTTATGTTTATTTAATGTTACAACTTGTGTCTTACAGCCAGAAAACTGTTAGTTATACATATCTTACGAGTGTGTCCTCAGGTTATTTTCAAGAGAGTTGTAAAACTTTTTGCGCATAAACCAACTTATCTCGCATAATTTCAAATTTAATTAAAACTTTTGACATTATTTTTCTGAGTGTACACCTGCCCTTAAGATAATTCCAAATAGCTGAGTCTCTAATTTTGATAAATAATCGAAAATCGGAAGTGAAACCGTTGGCTTTTAAGTGGTAGAGCAGAGTAAGACAATTTATAGAAAATATCACAAAGTCAGATCTTTTTTATCTGATCGGAAAACTAACAAATTGGAACAATCAACTTGACAAAACTCGGTTTTACACACTAGAAAACGTATCAGGAAGCGATCTGAAGTATGATAATATATTTCACTTTTCTCCTTTCCTCAATTCCACCACCTTTCGACTTAATAAAATAACATTTGAAATGACGTCAAATTATTTTTCACCTCCACTTTGTGTAGCTAAACAATCACAGCAAACTTATTACTTCTAACCACAAATTTACAAATCGAAATCAATTTCAATGACCGCAAAAGCTTAATTTATTACAAATCAATTATAGCTAAATAGGTCAAGATTTGCAATTAACCTAACAGGATACAACGAGGCGTCCAACCACCAACAGGCATTATAGTTATTGAAAGTGAACCCAATAGCAAACATCATTATCATAATGTTCAACATATTTCAGATTAAATTCGGCTAAAACTTTGTTTTTCATGTAATAAAAAACTGGCAACGATATTAAATTCTCTTGTTTATTTCTTATTTATCTGAGCTTACAGCTCGTAAAAGCACTAATAAACTCGTGACTATAATCTAATTTAAATTCTTTCACAGTGTCTGAAATTTTGATTTATTTTTATACGTAATTTTTCAATAAAATGTCGCAGTTTTAGCAAACACATTCCAGAACTGCAATTTCAGTAATTTTAATATATTAACTTCATTACTCTCTTTCATGTTTTTAGTTTTAATTACAAACCGTAAAAAATTATAGTATAGTGATTTCACAAAATTTCAGCAAGCCAAATTGATTAATTTAAATTATTTCATTGAAGTAATGGTGTTATGAGCACATGAATTTTTCATGAGCAGCAAATCGCTACAATTATTTAAAAATATGCTGTTTTTATTTACCACAACCTTATCACAAACTTCTATCAATTATTAGGTTTTTATTCAAACTGGAATGATTAAGATCGCGTTAGAAATAAAATGCCTTTGCCCTCGATAAGTCACCCACCACAGTTCACTTCCTCATTCACATTAAAAACAAATAATTTAGAAACTGGGCTCTCCAAGACTGTTATAATGACAGTCATTAAACTTAAGGGATTTTCGTATCAGATCCTGACTTACGACTTGGCCGAAATTGTATCAAATAACTCAATTGAATGGACACTATTTTATAATTAAGTTTCAACAAAAATGGCACCAAAAATTTGTATCTGATACAACTTTTCCTGCTTTCAGGAAATAGAAACTTTTGATGAGACGTAAGACATAAGTTTGGAAAACAATATAATAATGCAGTGAGAAAAATCTATAAAGAGGTTTTCTGTGAAAAGAAACAAACAAAAATATGCAGTGGTATTGAATTTCTAGTAATAAAAATGTAACCATCTCAAACTAGTTTTGTTGAAAAAACTAGTTTTGTTGAAAATGTTTTGTTCTAATGTTTGACATAACTGCAAAGCAAATGAGATTGTCACTAAATATAAAGCAGTGTTTAATCGTAAACCACTAATGTTTTTAGTCTCTTTATTAATGTAGACGCGTAAACTTGCGAAAAGATTGGTTATTTTCATCAAACAGCGCTTAACTAGAAACCTAATATGTGATAATCTGCTTTTAGGAAACTTGTTAGTGGTAAATCTGAACCAAATTGAAATTTGGGAATGTTAGCCTGATTTCAACTAAACTACGAGCAAAGTTCGTATCTAACTTAGAATATATTCATACCATCTGACTAAAACACACGCCAAGTCGAACTGTGACAGAAAAGAACATATCATTCGCATGTTGTTACGACCAAACGCCTCACTCCACTTCCTTTTCTTTTTGTTAGTAATTTCAGCCCACAACGAAACAGTTCATTAATTTTATAATTTATCATAGGCTAATGCTTTTTCTTTAAACACGCAACGCTTCAAAAACCAATCTTGCAAGGAAAGTTTTTTAAAACAGCAGTGATGACACAGCAAATATCAGCTATAAATAATTTTCAGCAACTGAAACACCAATTGCTGAAATTTCAGTCTGAAAAAAGAAAAACCGTGAAAACTTTAATCAAAATACTAAAATAGATTACGACTGCACAGCCAGGCAAAACAGATAATAAATTTTCAATAGAATTATTGGCTCCGAACTTTATCTCACCTACATACATTTCAACATTAAAATAAGGGAAAATAAAAATATAACAACTTCATAAATTTTAGAAAGAACTTGGAACAAGGAAGAAATTATCGTAATTCTCGTAAGCTCTATTTAAGTGAATTAGTTTGCAAGTACTTCAGTTAAATAAATCAGGCAATTCAATAGACCGTATGCTAAGTCTGTTCAAATTTTATTGCCCAAAAAGCTTAATATGACAAACACAAACCAATAATAATGCATACATTGTGGCAAATTAATGCCAACTTCGTACAACAATACGGAAATAAAAATTGTTCATTTGGCACAACGATTGGCTAAATTTTGTTTATTCTGCCAAGCAAATGGCTAATTTACTTGTCGAGAGTAGTTTCAAATACCCAATTTTGTGAAATCGTATTAAGCATCCAGAAGATCCAATCCAAACTATAAAATCGATAGTTATTTGAGAAACGGGCATTTAAAATTTCTCACACTATTTAAAATATTTAACAGAGTGTGCTACTGAGGTTTAATTAACTGGTTATGAAAACATGATGTTCAAAAATTACACAATAATATAGCCAATTTAGGTGAAACGAGAAAATGCTTTTAGGGTTTATGTCGTATTAATTTTTGTAAACAAGAGAAATAAAGTTTTGTGTTATAGAATGGCATTTCGATTTAATTTCACCGAGTCGTTTGAATGAAAGTTTAGTAAATTGGATTTGTGGAATAATTGTTTGAAAAACACAGTAGATTAAACAATAGGTAAAGTGCATTTGCTTAAACGACGTTTAAAATTATTAAAAATGTAATAGAGATGTCAGCAACATTCTCTAATTGAATTTCTTGGAGAAATTATTTAACTGCTCATTTCTTTATAGCTTAAAATGAAGAGCTTTGATGGTTGATTAAAATAGTTTCAAATGTAATTTGTTTCAGGTTTCATGGATTCGTCATCGAGATATTCACATTTTAACTGTCGGCAGTTACACATACACGAGCGACCAGAGATTTCAGGCGAATCATCATCCTGAAACCGACGAATGGACTTTACAGATCAAGTGGGCACAAAAGAGAGATGCCGGAATTTACGAGTGTCAAATTAGCACACAACCAGTGAGGAGCTATTTCGTCAACCTTAATGTTGTCGGTGAGTATGCATGACATTGCATTTACAATCACAAAAAGCTCCTCAAGCTCCTCAAAAAAAAAAAAAAACACACGACTAGACGCGCAACAAACCCGAATGCAACTTATTAACGCTACAACAAAATTACAGATTGGAAATCTCTCCAGAATAACAATTTCGAGAAAATTAGCATAAAGCTTCAGGCAGTTCTCCTCAGAATCACACTGCGATCGTCACAATGATTTTATTTATAATTTGTTACGAACTTCGGATTCTTCCAGCAGCAAATATAGCAACGCCTTTGATCTCCAAATACGTCTAATTGCTCGTACAAAAAAATCTTACTCAATTTAAAATCGCCAATTAGCCAAACGCGCACTCTTGATAACTTGTTAATACTCTTTCAATAGTTTTGATAACTTATTCACGATCCTTCAAACTTCAAACGACTTTATTTTTCAAAAGCAAACAAAAATTCAAGTCTTCGAGCTTTCATTTATTTCACTTAATTGTTTTAAAAAGAGGCTTCGATGTTTGGGTTTGGGAAACTAATTTTGAGTAAAACTTTTCAGTGATCATAACTTTGCTGTTAGTTTCAGAGGTCCCAGCCGGAGATGAACCCTCCCGTGAAGTAACAAATAAAAAGAATTGTACTCGTAGTTGTTCCCCAGGTGCCAGGTTGTTTATGTATACCAGTAACCCACTAATATGTATATTTGTTTATCATTTGGAGTAAAACTAACACTAACATTTACATTAACAACAAGTGTAACTGTCAAATATGTGTTTATTTTCATTTACAAAACAATAAAACAAGTTTGAAGCAACTTTAACCCAAAGTACAGTCACTGAAAACCACTCTTGTGGTTACGAACAAGTAGTTTACAAGTTGCTAATTTGTGTCTTAATTTTAGTTCCCACAGCACAAATTCTTGGAGGACCTGATCTTCATGTGGATAAAGGTAGCACAATCAATTTGACATGTTCGATCCGGTTCAGCCCTGAACCACCGGCGTATATCTTCTGGTACCACCGAGACGATGTAAGCATGAACGGAAGTAACTTTTTTTAAAAATCCGGTGTTAACATCACACGACTTTCCTTATCCTACTTATTTGGAAAACCTCCTTACGATAATACCTAACGTTTGCGTTAGTGCCACCTGCCGGGTTCGAGTCTGTTTTTTTAGTTCGGTACCCATTATTATAAAGGTATATTTCATGATTCTCGTCAACCGTATAATTTCGATTGTTGCGACCGATTTTTACCAATTGTTTCGTGCTGCGTCCCCTACCTGAAAAAACCTGAAAGCCTAATAGGTGTTTTCGTCTTTCTTCAATTCAAATGCAAACGTAGAACTTTTGTTTCAGGTAATAAGTTACGATTCGAACAGAGGCGGCGTGAGTGTCATCACTGAAAAGGGAGATGTGACTACAAGTTTCTTGTTAATCCAACATGCTGACATTTCAGACTCCGGCAAGTATTCCTGCAGTCCGTCGAATGCAGATGTCGCAAGTGTCCGAGTACATGTCTTAAACGGTAAGCTTTACATGAAAACTTTTCGATAGAAATAAAAGAACATAGAGCTACAAGATTGCAATGATTGATTTTCAATTAGTAGAGATTTAGCCACCGTTCGGTATGCTGGTGGCAATACAGGAAGAGAACCGATGGAAATAGGAAAAGTGCAAATCAATCACGAAGTAATTACGTACACAAGTTGATGGAATACCAGGAAACTGAACCGTGAACCATTGCCATCTGATAATTATGTGTACAGGGTGCTGCATTTTAGATGTCCGAATAGGGAATCTCCGAAACTAAGAGGTTTAGCCAAAAACGAGTATAACATTCTGGGGCTCATTTTTTGAGAAAATAATATTGGTATTGGTTTCGACTTATAGACAAAAGTTGACATTTTGGCGAAATCGAAAAAAAAATTATATCGTCGTTATTATAGAAAATACGGATTTGAAATAAAGACATTATACAGGCACTTTTTTACGAGGAATTTAATAGTGTAGTTAACAATTTTTTTCAGTTATTAGTTTAGCCGTAATAAGATAAACTTGTATTTTTTTAAATGGAAATCATAGGCGGCTATGGCAATTTTCAAAAGCTTTCTGATTTAAAAAATATATATTTGTAACAAAATATTTTTTTATAAATATACTTAAAAAGTGAAATACATATTTTGTGTGATAGTAGTTGGCCATGGAAAAACTATTTCACTCCAAATGTGTAAATAATAATCAATATGAGTTTTGTGAACTGTAAAATAGATGAAAAAATTGATAAAATTATAAAGATTTAAAAAATACGATACGGTAGAAGCATTGAACAAATATCCGAGCGCCTCAGAACGAAATTATTACATATTTTTAAAGAATCAAAAAATAGGAAAAACAAATGTGTCAACAGTCAACACAATTACAAAAAACATTTTTTTGATGATCTAATGGCGGTAGGATAACGTTTCACATAGACGGAATTTGGGTATTTGAATTGAAAATCGTCATTTTTGTGTCATATAAAATATATTTTATTGAAGAATTAAAGCGGCTTTTTTTACAACACTCTATGTATAACTAGAAGTTACAATAGTAATGTTAGCTTGTTTTAAAACAAAGAAATGTGAGTAGTCGCCATTAAGTTGATTTACAATTTATTTTGCATCTTTTTCATCACTTAGTACTTAGAAAACTCTTTCATTAGTGACACTGGTTGAATATAATATAGTTTAAATCCTTTTAGTTGAAGATGCAACATTTTTTCATGGCCAACTGTATTATAATAATTTGTTACAAATATATATTTTTTAGATAAGAAAAAAACAAGCTTTTTTAAAAAATGACATAGTCATCTATGATTCCCATTTAAAAAAATATAAGTTTATCTTATTACGGCTAAACAAACAACTGAAAAAAATTGTTAACTACATTATTAAATTCTACGTAAAAAAGGGCCTGTATAATGTCTTTATTTCAAATCTGTATCTTCTATAATAACGAAGATATGATTTTTTTTAGATTTCGCTAAAATGTCAATTTTCGTCTATAAGTTGAAAACAAAAGACGATAGCGGGATGCGGTTTTAACCAATATTATTTTCTCAAAAAATGAGCCCCAGAATGTATTACTCGTTTTTGGCTAAACCTCTTAGTTTCGGAGATCCAAAATGCAGCACCCTGTACATGTGGTTTTAGATGCCCTTTATAAATTCTCGACTTCAGAAAGTTATTTTATTTGTTTCAAAAACACAATCAAGTCACAATAATTCAAGCACAAAACGTTTTCTTTCTTTTGTTTCAAGTATCAAATCCGACGGAAATCACTTTAGGTTGCTTTGACACTAAATAATTGTCCCATTGTCCATTGCGACTTTGATGTCCAATTTGTATTTTACTTCTTAATTTACAACTTTCGGATCAATCTCATCAAAGATCTCTTTGTGTACACCGCACTACAGCCTGACAAGAAATGTATTGAATGCCTTACTTGACTCATTGATCGGAAACTCGCTAAATGACTCTTAAGATCCGATGGATAATAATTTATCTACCCACATTCTCCGTTTAACACAAATACAAAAAAATCTCTAATTCGATCGATACAACTAAGTACAGCACTCTGCAAGAACCCACCCATTGTAACAATATTTTATTTATGTCTTGGCTTATTAAAATTTAAAACACAATTATTTATAAATCAAACATTTCCAGTAAATTCCTTTGAGGAATCAATTTCTATTATTTATTACGCGTCGAGATTTATCGAACAGGATAGTCTCTGACCGCATTTTACATTTCTTGTTTGTCTTTATGTGAATAAAATTTATCCAAACAAACCAAAATAAATAAAAGAAATAGCTACGTTATCCCAAAATTTACAAACAAGTCGATCCTCCTCACAATTATCTTTTTCTACTAATATGCACAAACAAATTTTTCAAATCGGCTTAAATCTTGTCATAAAAAAATAGTCAACTGCGTCCGCCAAAAATTTAACTCTTCTCTGTTTTATAAACAGGAATTTAAATTTCCCTTTGCCTGAAATCAATCATTTGTGATTGAATCTCCTTTAATCAGTTTTCTGGCTTATGGTAAGCTTTCGAAAACATTGGAAATTTGTTGTTGGAAGCTTTGTCTTCTCAAAATCGGAAAACACTTCAATTTGTTTAAAACTCGCCGTTATAGACGGAGTCACTTATATTATATATAATTTTTAAGTCTAATCCGCTTTTTGTTGTCAATTGTGAATACATCAAATTAAAAAAGAGTAATCCAAGGTTTAAACAGCGTTGAAATCGTTTGGGAACGGTGATAATCAACGAGGATTATGCAGCGTTTTACTGATCGGAAACAATCAATTCATCGGTGATGCCGCATGGCGGCCGTTGATATAAACCCAGCTTTCTGCCTAATCAACCAACATAGTTCGCATTTTCCTACATTGATTCTCAATACTTGCAACAAAATCTTTCTCTACAATTAATTAAGCAAAGATACAAAACCAATTTTTTAGCACTCAAGCAACAGAATTACAACACAAAATCACCATTACCAGAAAATTTAAAGATAAAAATTTGATTGAGTAATTAATTTACTTGACGAAGTTATTTAAATTCATTTTAAAACATTTTATAAAAAAATTAAATAAATCAACTAAAAAAACATTTAAGGCAAGGCAGTTCGCTTGTGCTTTTAAGAAATAAAAGCACTGCTTTTATACTCATATTGATTGCGGATGAGTCACACTGTAATGTAATAATGCTTTTCAAGCACAAGAAACACAGCCATTGCAGATCCTTTATTGTTTTTTAATTAAGGCCCCTGTTTTGTTGAGATGGAATATTTCGAGGTTTTTGCTAACTCTTAAATTTTGAAGTTCGGCGGAGCAGAAAGTGTCTTCGCTCGAATACAAGAATTTCTCGATATCAAATCGGTTCTAAAATAAACAAATATGTGTACAATAAATGAAAGACTAAACAAAAGGGACGATTGGAAGTTGTCTTTATATTTGGGGTGCCGAGGGATTATTACCAACATGAGGGAAATGTAAAATTATTGGAGTTTTAGTCAAAAGACGTTCGCAGTGAATGCGTAATTTCAATTTCAGATTAATTAATTAGTCTTGAATGGAAACAAACTGTAATTAATCGATAAGCGGGCACAAGAATCATAAATCAAGTAAAGTGGCGCATCGAAAATTGGAAATTGGTTGTTTTGCTAACTAGGAAAACAAGTGCGATTTGATTTAAACGTTTGGATGATCTTTTTGGCCGAGTAGAAATTTTAAATCAAACTCACAAGCCGAGGAAAACGCAGGGAACACCTGAATCAAAATAGATATTTTGCTAATGTGGTTAATTCCAACTAATATTTTGAAATCTGCACAATACCAAATCAATGAAAATCAACAGTTTCCCTTTGTTTCCTTCAATAGAGTTATTCACTGTGGGTAAAAACCGGTAATTTCCTCTGAGCGTGACTGAAGAACATTATCTATTAACTATTGTGTAAGTAGCTAAAAGACAGTTTATCAATGAGATCTCGAAACATACGATTCGTGCGCGGATCGAGTTTGATGGGATTTCGTATATTTAACTAGCCATTATGCTAGGTTGAAAAATGAATCTTTGTTCCAGGGGAGAGACCTGCCGCTATGCAAACTGGATCAGCAGGACTATCAAACAGTTCTTTGAATATCCTCGCCTTGATGATCATTTCTTACATTTACACTGCTATCTATTTAAGTCTCCAACTTGAAACCAAAGAAACAGTGGCTGCTTTAAGGTAGCCATTTTGCAAAGATGTCAATAATATGTACATACATTAAGTAAAAACGCGAGTTCTCAACGACTTATACAAGAAAAAAATATAAAAATACACTAAATCATTGTACAGAAACATTAAATTTAATCAAGTGTTTCAAATTTCTGTGTTCTAGAGTTTACCTCCATTGTGTGCTATTATCGGATCAAATATTTGGATCAGTTAAGTGAACAAATTAATTTTGTATCGTTCTGTTATTACTGTCTTACACTGTACTACTAACAATGTTGGTGTTTTTCGTGTTGCATACTCACTTCGAGTAAAAATAAAAGTGTCGGCTGAGAACCAAAATTGAAACACTTAAAGTTATTGAATGTTAATTGTTATTTTAAAAATTAACCATTTAGTGTAAATATAAACATTTTAAAATGGATTAGGTAAATAGATGTAAAATTGAATAAATAGAATCATTACGAGAAAAGGATTTTTATTGGGGAAGTTTGTGTGAAATCATAAAGAAACAAATAGTAACTTCCCCGGCAAGTGAAATATATATTTTATTTGTTGTTGACATGCAAGCTATAACTTTGTATTAGGAAAATGAAAGAAAGTTTTATTGGATGAACAAAAGTGAATAGACATTTCAATGTGTTTAAAAAAGGTGTATAATTAAGAATTTCATGTAGAAAACTCTTGTTACCAGAGAAAAGTTTTGTTAATTATTCTCTCCCAAGCGAAATTGGAATAAATTTTATCCATTCAACTATAACATGGATATTCATATATTAACGGGTTATTAATTTCGCTTCAACAGGGTATACGTAATTATTTCGGTTATTTTTAAAAAATGTATAACATTGTAATTATTCATGTTCATGTAGATTGAATCTTTTGTTGATGATAAAATAATAAATATCAATAAAATGGATTTAATCGTTATTCAAAAATTATTTCCCAATTTTGAAGTGACGACTACAGTGACTTTAATGCAATTTTGGAAAATAATGTAAATTATTGTACATACTTTAGGTAGAATTAACATATAAGCCACTGCTGTGTATAAAATACAGGGGCGGCGCTAGAGCTTTTTGTATTTTTTGTATTTCCTTGTAATAAATCGTGCATTAATGCCGATTTTTCCCAAAAAAAAACAAATTGCTAGCGGCGTCATTGTTATCGAATACAATGAAAAAAATCATTAAAGCAACTTACTAAGATAGGGTAAATTAGATCTCTTTGTTTTACTGTTCTAAATGTATTCAAATTACAGAAGTACCTATATCGACAATTCATTATCTCAAATGTGTAGTGTGTAATTTATATTACTGTAAAGTTTATTAATAAATAAACACCCATTTTAAAAAAAAAATGATTTTCATTTTTTTCAACTCACCTCAAAGCCTGAAAAGTTAAAAGATAGTTATGAAGTCTATAAGTAAACTTTTCTATAAGTAAATGAAACATTCGGTTCTGACACAGTAGATATTGTTCCAGGCATTATTCAAGAGAAGCCAAGTGCTTACCGCTCTTATCGAAAGCTATAAATATCGAGCTTCGAGCTTCGAGAATTTACATTGCAATATCCACTTGCTATCAGATCTCCAAAGTATTCGTTCTGAACCACTAAAATTCCCTATTATTCGTAATTCCCTTTCAACTTGTCAATTAAAATAAGTTAAATAGCTCATAAAGGATACTTCCAAGTGAAGCGACAAAGCAGCCATTGAAATGTCCCTAAATAGGTTACATCAAAGTGTCAATGAAGATGCAGGTAGCAACTAGTTACAATATTTACGAACTAGTTAACACCACTAACCACTTTCTGTCTATTACCAGCTCAATTTTCGATTGTTCAATAATACCACTGCAGAGAGGAAAGTTTGACGATGATTTATTAACACATTTCATCGCATCGCATCGAGCTTTAACTGAGCTTTAAATACACTCTATTTGTCCATACTGCAACGATTAAATCAAAATAAACAATCTTTGCTACTTCACGCTTAATGCAATTTTCCAAATTCGATAAAGCAAAACTCGAAAGGCTTAAAAATTATATTATTCAATTTGGTTTAGCGTTACTTCAAATGATGTTAATTTGTCATTAACATGCCCGCATAAGCTTGCCGCCAGCCACTCTAAATTCATTTATTAACCACTAAAAACTAGACCACGATATGAATGAACTTAACTTCCACACGGGTACTAATAAACTTTACGTTTACTTTACAATCAATAAAATTTTAGTTTAACATTGGGTTATCTCTATATTCACAACGGTAAGTCTCAACCTCTGCCTTATCGCAAACTGAACGATTCGTTAAACAAAATTTAAATCTTCTATTAGTTTGCACAATAATGTGCCGTTTCACTACTGACCTACTCTTTTAACTTTATCAGCAGTGATATTCACAACAGGATAATTAATAAACAAAAGAAAATTTTAGTGAGTTGTGATGTTCCTCGTTTTCAAGGAACAGAAATCAAAAATGTTACTATTGGCTCAAATTCGGTTGATTGCAGTCTTACAAACGAATCGTTTGCAGAAGTTGAAATAAGAGCAAAAATAGAAACTTCCGCACTTTAGCATCATTAGTTAGAAAAAAAGTTAAAATAGAAAGAAAGAAGCCAGAAGTTGGAAGCAAGTAGATATGACAGAACTGAATTAGTAGTAAGTGTAATGTTTATCAAAGTAGCAACGGTAAATTTAAAAAGAAATTTGCATATCAGCGTTGAAATCGGGCATGTTGAGAAACCGAAGCCGAAGAAGAGGTCGAAGGCGCAAGTAATGGCGAGATGTAGGAGTCAAGTATATGTTGAGGTAAGAAACGCAAGGTAACTTTGAGGTCGTTGACCATCATCGATATATAGTCAAGGCCAGGCCCTCGTTCTGGGCAAAGCAACGGATAACTGTGCACTCTGACAGTCAGCATACGAATGGCCGAGTAAAACCAAGAAGTGCTGCGCCAAGGAGCCTTGAACCAATACAGAAGGCATCCGCAACGGTAAATTCTGGAAGCGATTCCGTATTGCACACAAGTTAGTTGCGCATATGAATGAAACAATCGTGGCTTTCTGGAGCCAAACGATGCGCTCGTGTTGACTGTGAGTGTCGGGGCCACTTTGGAGCGCTAAAATGTTTAGGACCGCCAGATTTGCTCTTGTGCTTTTGTGTAGTGCACTTGCAGGAGCTCAAGATGACTCCCTCGCAGGAAGCTTTCTTTCAGGTATGTCACCCCAATTCTTCAACGGTATACGAGAATTTACCGTTAAACACACACTTCCGGAACACCCCGTATCGGACCCAGCAACTCATCCTAACTGTATTTGCAACTATTTCAAATTTTAGTAGACATTAAAAAAATCCTCGCATTTAACAAAATCAATTGTACCGTTACGATTGAAAGTACATTGGTCTCCCACAAACACCATGACCATTTCAACTTCATTCAAATATAATGAAAGTTCAAAAAAATAAAAAAACAGAAATCGATTATTCAAAAAATGAGTCACAATAATTGCTGCAAAATTGTGTCCCAAATAACAATGATTAATCATGGAATTTTAACTTCGGTCATCCTTTGTATACATGTATGAATTCGCAGTTATTTCGAACACCTTAAAATGATTTATTACAATATAAACTTTTTGAAATATTGTCGAAATTTTTATCTCCTGAAGAGGGCTTTAAATGTTTCAATAACAATCCTTTCCGAGAGTGACACCAAAGCTCTAAAGACCGAGACAGGATATTAGAGAAAATTTATAGCTTTCGGGGAATTATATAGAGACAGGATAATTGTTCAAAACATTATATCAAAACATATTTTAGCACAACATTCTTGACTCATTGTTAAGAACAACACGAAACATTATTAAAACATACAAGTTAATAACCTCTTGGTAATATTCGACACGATTTAAAACCACAAACTCATTTAAAACCCACTGTTTTTTTTCTAAATTATTTAAATTTGAAACGGTAACATGGAACAAACCACAATAACACTCAGTAATTAACTCCATAAATAATTTGAAATTTCTCTCCCTTCCTTCAAATCATGATTTTATCTTTGGTCATTCACATACTACAGTTAAGATTCCCAAAATTAATAACATCAATTTTCGTCTTCCTTACTCGCGGGTAAACTAGAACAAGTTTTATCTCAGGGAGTAAAAGAGAGGGAACAACATATGCGGCTAGTATATAGATATGAGTCTAATAAAGTTCGAAAATATACGTTTTACGACTTTATCTTTCAGAACATTGTTGAAAACAGCTAGTTTTTTCATTAAAAATACTGTTAATGCAATCTTTTAACCCTCCAGTAAATCTGATTTCTATCAAGTCCATTAAAAATAAAATTTCATCGCGCAGGTATAATTACGTTTAACTATAGAACCATTACTGTTATCTTTCCGTTATTTCATAAGATAATCATGAAATTAATTGCTTTGGTGCACTCGTATCCATATTAAAAAGATTGTGATGGAGATTTACTTCATTTCAACAGATGAGATTCTAGAATTACATACTCATCCACAATACATGTAATTTGTTATGCCACAGTGGTACTATTTTACGGTGTAACACACATTGATGTAGGGTCAGCCGCTTTATGGCAGAAAGCCACTAAATGTTAAATTTTAATGTCGCTCATTTCACTAGGGTAATAGCAACACTTGACTTTTTTAACTGAAACGGGAACAATAAACAAAGAAAGGAGCATCAATGAAGTGTTGATCAATGCGGTTAAAGTGGGAAAATTGATAAAGTTCCTCAACCGTTAAAATAATACATACAAATCCACTATTTAAGAGTTGTTAAACCGGTTTAAGTGTTTGCTTTTAAAAAATGCTTCACAAATCAAATTGTATGTTAATTACTAATTAATACTTAGGCCTTTTGGACACAATTACTAGTACTGCCGATGCAAAAGACTGTCCAGGAGTATGCGTTCATGCTTTAGCAACAATAATTTGTTACGACGTCTTAGAAGATGTTGTATGTCCATCATCATCAATGAAATGTTGTGTGGAACCTCCCGCACCTAACTCAACCGAAAAAGCTCCACCACAAACCACAACACCTAATCAAACAACGACAATAACCACCACAACAACTGAAAAAACAACTAGTACAACAATAGCACCAACAACAAATAATACCTCAAATCAGGCAAGTTTTCAACCAACTAATCCTTCAAGTCGGATCAACAATTCATTTCCAGATAGCCTCCGACGAGAAAATAAAACGGAAAAATTCCAACAGCAGTAAAGAAGAACCTGGTATGACCTTCCCTCACAAAGTTACACTAAAATTACCAAAAAAATGTAATTTCAGCGTCGGTGAAAGCATGTCCCGGTGTATGTGTGGCTGAACGAATCGCCGATTACTGCGAGGCGATTCTACCAACTGAAGATTTATGCAAACCGAGCTTGAAGTGTTGTGTTTCAAGTGACGCTTTCGGTGACAAAATTCCACCAAATCTAATAATCCCTAACAAAACCAAAAGCAACTACACTAGAACTGAAGTACGAACGACACCAAAACCAAGTACCACCACAATCCGAACTCAAGAAAAACCCCCCTCGTTGAAACATCCCCCAAAACCCTGTCGTGGAGAATGTGTCAGTGGACTTTTCGCTTTGTTCTGCGACGATATTGATTCCGAAGCCGATTGTCCTTCTGAAGGAAGTTGCTGTATCACTTCAGTAAGCCCCACAAACAACAAACTAGACACCAAATAATTTTCCATTATTAGCCTAGTGAGGAAACGATTACTACGACAAGTCCAAGACCGACAACCCCCGATCCTGGACCCCGGTGTCCCGGTTTCTGTCTTTTGACTATCATGGCAGCTTTCTGTGAACGACCATCAGTTTTAATCCCTCATACTTCGAATTGTAAAAGAGGGTCTGTCTGTTGTGACAACACACGGGCTGCAGTCACACTCGCCAGACCAAAACCACGACCACATCAACCACCCATTACTACCACCACCACAACAGTTGATCCCAGAAGCGAATGTCCTGGATCATGCATTGTCTCCTATCTGAGTTTCACCTGTTTCCGTAAGTTTCAAACCAACATTGAAGTATAAACGAAAACTATTATTTATCTCCATTTTGTGTTTCTATGATAACCTGATTACGCAGAAGATGGTTTACGGGACAAAGGGAAATAAAAAAACTATTAAATTCGTCGCGATTCGATACTTTTATTGTATCTTCTTCAGGCGAAGACTGTGCCATGCTTCCCACGCTCAACCAACAAGAAGAAGATACAATAAAAGTATCGAAAAAAGTAAAAGTAAAAAAAAGTATCGTAATCAGGTCAGGTCAAAAAATTAGTACTTTATTTAGTATTTTTTGTCTCTGAAAATATTTTCCTATTTTGTATCCCAAAACTTGCTTTCGTTACTTTTCTTTTTTGCTATTTCACAAACTGATCCAAATCAAATCAGTCACGACCTTTTGCAATAGCCCAATATATTTTTACCAATAATTTCTTTTCCTTCGTTCCTTAATAAATCATTTTTGATACCATTCTTTCCCTTGCTTGGCAAGAATGCTCTAAACCTCCTCGTGGTTCTTGCTGGGCAATTTTTTTAACTTTCTGTAATACACATAACACAATAATGATAAACACAATATGTGTTTCACCAGAAAAACTTATAATTTACGTATTGGGCTTAGTGCCTTTATATTAAACCTATCTATTTTTTAAATTTATTTTTAAATAGATGAATAATTAAAAAATTGAAGTTTTGAAATGAACTAACAATTCTCTTCTTGAGGGGTGCAGATGCATATCATGTTGTGGGTTACACCCGGCTCGTTGTAAATCATGCTGCAGGTACATCCGAACTTGAATTTACATGTATTATAAGTTGCCTACTTTCAATTTAATTTTTGCTTTTTATCAAAGAATCAAGAACAGTTATCAAATTCACATTATAACAGGGATTTGGATTTTCAAATTACCTATAAAATGTTTTTTTTTAAATCAATACGGTATACCGTTATCAAAAAATCTTAATAATTAAGATTTTCGCATTTTATTCAATAAAAAAATATCTATTAATTTATTTAGCGGGAATATTATCCTGGTCTCTATTTACCTACCTACAAACATCAAGAAACTCTTCAAGTCTAAATTTGCGACTAAAAACAATGAAATAAATGTACATGGAATAGATATACGTCAGCTTTCAGGGGGTCTGGAGAAGTAACTATTATTTATTGTAGGAAATGCGGAAATGACTGAACTTTTTAAATGTCGAAAATCTGGAACGAAATGCTGTGCCCCAAAATCGCTAATTAAGGAAGCTTTAGGCCAGAAAGAGGAGTCTACACATAAGGAAAGCATTCAAGTCACTATCGATCACACAACAGTGTCTGTACTTAATGCTTCTCAAGGTGAGCATTAGAACTGCAATTAGTCGTGTCTTATTGAAAATTTGCAGCATTGGAATCAACAAAAGTCCTTTCAACAACCCAGAAACCTCCAATTTACAGTAAATACGTATGTGGAGTTAAAGGTACTTCTCGATCTGGTAGAGTTGTTGGTGGTGAAGACGGTGAGCAGGCTGAATGGTGTTGGCAAGTTGCTTTAATTAATTCTCTCAATCAGTATTTATGCGGAGCAGCTTTAATTGGAACGCAATGGGTTTTGACAGCTGCACATTGTGTGACAAAGTATGCACTTGCCACTTGACATAAACGCCACTTATTTTTACTTTTTTTTTCAGTATTGTACGATCAGGTGACGCAATATATGTGAGAGTTGGTGATCACGATTTAACGCGGAAATATGGCAGTCCCGGAGCGCAAACTTTAAGAGTTGCCACAACTTATATACATCATAATCATAACAGTCAGACTTTAGACAACGATATTGCCCTGTTGAAACTCCACGGACAGGCAGAATTAAAAGAAGGAGTTTGTTTGGTGTGTTTGCCGGCAAGGGGAGTTAGTCACGCTGCAGGGAAAAGATGTACGGTTACGGGATATGGTTACATGGGAGAAGGTAAGGTTGTTTTCACAAACTCGAATTGTTATCATTCGTAGCTTGTTTTAAGCCGGTCCTATTCCGTTGAGGGTAAGAGAGGCCGAAATTCCCATTGTGAGCGATGCGGAATGCATCAGGAAGGTTAACGCCGTTACGGAAAAAATATTTATTTTGCCAGCTAGCAGTTTCTGTGCAGGAGGGGAAGAAGGCAACGATGCCTGTCAGGTATTATAGCAAACACACTAAATATTTTTTTCACAAATTTTATTTTTAGGGTGATGGTGGAGGGCCGTTGGTGTGTCAAGACGACGGTTTTTACGAATTAGCCGGTTTAGTATCTTGGGGATTTGGTTGTGGTCGTGTAGATGTTCCCGGCGTATATGTAAAAGTTTCTTCATTTATTGGATGGATTAATCAGATAATTAGTGTTAATAATCTTTAGTAGATTAGATATTATACGAATCAACCAAATACAAAATATTTCACACTGACTTATTTATTCTGTCTGATTTTTTATTTTAAATGTAAATATTTAATATACTTGACAAAAAACATAAATTGTTACCAAATAAGTACTAACGTAATTAACTGTTGTTAGGAAAAATATATCCAATTTGCAAAATAGATATATTTGTAACATAAAGACAATAAAAGTTTTTTTATAATTTGTTTTTTTTTTAAACCTATACACAACACTACAAAAAGAAAGAACATCGAGAAAAATGTAATGCTGAATAATAAATACAAAGAGTGTCTTAATTCTAATTTAACTTTGCACCTAGCAAAGCGACTCAACACAATCTCCAAATGTTTTTGCGGCCAGGAAAATTAGTAAAACTTGTCATCATCATATAGTTTAATTCATTATCTTGAATATCTTATAGAAAACGACTTTTTGAACTCCTTTTTAATACTTTAATACAAACCTGGCAAAAATTTTAGCTTCACTTGATAATGTCAAAGTGTCAAAGAATTTAGTAAAGTAATCATAATTTTGGCAGTGATTTTGAGAAATCTTCACAGAACAAATCGTTTGGTTATTCTTAATTTCTTCGAAAGTTGTTTCAAATGTCAGTCTAAGCTCATTTAGTTGTAAGACAAAAACAATAATCAAAGATACTTAAATGGTGATTAAAATCTTAACGTCTGTTGAAATTGTTAATTAGATTGTGGTTGATTGTTGGAGCTTTTTCTCTGAACAAGTTGATGAATTCGTTAATGTAGGAAAAAACCTCGTTTTTTGGTTGTAAATTATTTTATAAGCTTCACCCTGTTTGACAATTTCTTCCAATGCTTCGTTTCCAATTCGTCAACACACTGATTTTGACGGCTGATATTATCATTTAACCCTGTTATTCCTATTATCGCGTTTTGCTTTATTTCAAGAAGTAACTTTTCATAACTCCCGACATATATCCATATAACCTGGCAGCGTTTATTTCCTGTCGTAGAGTAGTAACTTCGTCTTCTAAATATGTAATCAGATTATCTCTGCGTAGATAAAAGTTCTAACAGTCTCTTTAGATTCATCAAAGAAAGGTGAATAAAGTCGCAACAATACAAATTTTGCTTTTGCCGCCCAAACTATCTTGTAAGTTTCTTATCAACTTCTCTATAGAAAATTTTTGACTTCCAGATAAATCGATCAAATGTCTTTTACCAGTCTTAACAATCTCTTCACCATTCCAAAATAAGGGTCCTGAAATAATAATTGTGACAATAGTCCAAGTTACTGATATTAACATTAATAAATTAACCGAGAGATTGACTGTCCACAGTTTTGTCAGTTCCAGTTGGTCCATAAGCATAATAACAGCATTAAGTCAACCATGCAAGGGGGTGCACAACATCATAAACCTCCACATAAAACAACTTTATCAAAAATATTGTTTTCTTTTACTTTATAAAAAAAATATTTTTTTTTATCTGTCACACACTTAAAGGTGTGTAGACGATATGTTATACGAAAAAATAAAAATAATAACTGTTCAAGAGTTTTAATTCTCATTTTTAAACGACTAAAAAACTAAACTGTTTTAAAGATATTTATTAAATAAAGTAAACAACATTGATATTTTATACATAAACTGCTACAATCCGATGATATTTACGCATCTGGGATATTCTCCAAGCCCTAAAAATACCAAATAAGCCTCGCATTTATCACTGGATCAATTTATCTTACCTTGAGTTTGTAAGGATCACCGGAAAGTCGGCGATCTCTTAAGTATTGCAAAGCTTCGTATTTATCCAACATCGACCTACGATAGCACTAAAATAAGAAAATAAAACGATAATTATGTAACAAAACATGTATTTCTAGGTTAGGAGCACTTACATTATCGAACACTAATTTATTAGCCACGTAGGCAATGCCATGAGGGGCGGCTAATGCAGCAAAAATAATGCCAAAACTGGGAATAATTTCATACCACATTGTAAAATTTTGTGGTTGAAATTATTTTGACACTTATAAATACCCCCGACTGTCACTTCTCCCACTCGCTTATGTTGCTGGTTTTATTGGCTATTGCGCAGGCTCACGAGACCCCAGCATTACCAACCAACCTTTAGTTATGTAAAAGATTTTAAATAAATGATTTTCTGTTTTTTATTCTACAAAATTTTGTTAACAATGAATTAAAATATTAGGGGAAAATAATAACTAGCTTTCAGCTATATTTAATGATTATTTGTGCATACCTACCTGTTGGTAATTATTTGTTTTTGATGTTTCTTTGTTTGGTTTTGTTTTATTCAATAATCATTTGCAATATAAATCGAGATCGCTTTAATTTTCGCAAAGCTTACAAACTAAATTTTAATATATCAATGGCTATCCTAAAACAACGATTGCTTAGAAAAATTATATGTATATATATTGTAATACTATGATTATTCATTATTTTACATGTATGAGTTGTCCAAATGTAAATACACTGTATCGAACATTCATTCAAGCCTATAAAGTGTATGTTACATGTACCTACATGCATTTTATAAACATAACGCAAAAATATAAAAAAGCATGTACATTATGTGCAAAATGTCTTATTTTGTGTATAGTGAATCACTTGAATAACGTAGTGAAAAAGAACTGATCCACAACACACTGTATCAGTAATATGACTAGTGCCAAAAATATGATTTATTGGAACGGTTTTGTAGTTTCACTGGCATTTTTTAAAACTGCAAACAGTGTATTGAAAAAACAGTTGTGTCTGTTTCACAATAACAATGTGTGCGTATGATGTTACATTATATTACGGCATGCAATTCCACATTTTTAATATTATTTGGCTCATCAAGTAAAAAGCAACAGTGTTGACTGTATAACAAATTCATTATCACTTTGTTTCACCAATGGTGAGTGTTTGAATGAGCTTTGGTTGTTTATTTTGAAATAACAACGAATGTTTTTAAGGAAATGTTTATTCATGGCTAGAACTGTACAAGAAATTTTAAGGCCTGATACCAGCAGGTACTGTGGGACCAAGAAAGATTACGGGAATATAATAATGACAATAAACCACGTCAAACAAACACTAACCAATTCATATAAAATTTCAACAATAATTATCTATGAATTAATAATTAATTAACAAAATATAACAGCGTGGCGTAACGTTGAACAAGAGAATTCACCCCTGTTCTAGTTACATTATCAATAAAGTTGTTGCAGTATTGGGGTATGCGTGACATTTTTCCATACATTTTAAAATGATGGACACGTTATTACCTCACTAATGGTCCAGCCATGATACAAAATTTAAGATAATGTATAAACATCACTACATAATGTACAATTTTGTGAATAATTTGTACAATCCGTGCCACCACGTCTTAAAATGCTTTAGTATTTAAATGAAATATCAACTAATGTGCCGGGTTGCTTAACAAAAATGTCACACATACTAATTTACATGAGGCATACAAAAATTTGTGTATTTTTTGCAAATTTTAACCCATTTGCCCCTCCCTTTGAATGCGGTCCATGTAGCATGTGAAGATTAGCAATTGAAGAAAGCACCATAATTTTTCAAATAACTGATGTGATTTTAAAACAGTTTATGATTCGGGCCCATTTAGAATATATTTGTGGCCAATTCTCGAAACGTGTAATCGGATTAAAATTATACACTTTTCGCGAATTTGACTTAGAAATGCCCCTGAATCATTATCCTTAAAAACTGTAAATTTTTGGGAGCCACTTGGGAACAGTTGCTCTCAAATAACAATATTTTGCTAAAATTTCAATTTTCTAAATGATTGCTTTGACGGCATTTTAAGGCTAATAGACTCAGGATGATAGTGGCTTGGTTTACACCAAGCTTTGTTCTATACCTGTTTTGGTATTTAACAATAATTATTTACAGGATTTTACTCCCACTATTACAATAACTGTAAAATTATAATCTGTCGTCCCATTAAGTCAAAGTGTATTAAAGAGAATAAGTAACAGAAATAAAATATTCTACATTTCGAATTAATAGGATTTCAGTGTTATGAAATACATCAACTGTCTTTCCTTTTGCGACTAGTGTTAGTATTTTCATATAGCAACAAATGCTGGGACATCGTTGCTATTTTTTTGTGAAAATAGAGGACTAGTCATTGATTAAAATTCACTGTTCATACAACTATGACTTGTTGATGGTTGTGGAATTCAGTTAAGTAACCATATTTAGTTAGTTAATAGTACAATAGCGATATGAGCAGCAAAAGCAGTTGACACCTAATTATACAATACCTTCTCCACCAAACTACACAGCACAAACTTTAGTCGACGTGATTTTTAGTCTCGATCGTGTCCAGATTGAAATAATAAACGCAATTCTGGTTGAATCTACGGAATTCGATGTAATAGTGAGGACAATCTGGTGTACAGCCGAGATAAAAAAGACGTGCCATCCGGCTATGGCGAGATCTGGGAGGGGCGGGGCCGGTCTCAGACATCCGCCGACTTGGAGCTGATACTGGGTGTGCGCGTGTGCAACACAACTTTGTGTCCGTTTTTGGTCACAAAGCCGTCACTTTCGACCAAAACCGCCGTTTGATGGACTTCCATCTCCCCATCGCCATCGCCGGTGGCCTCCTCGACATTCACTTGTTCTGGAGCACCACCCGTGCGCAGTCTATATTTGCGCCACGCATTCTGGATCAGTCTTGCACAATATTCCTCGCGTTGTCTATAAAGTGTTGAACTGACTTGTTCATAACCCGGTTCATTTTGTCGTGGTTGCACTTCACTAAGTTCAGCAGTTTCCTCAATTTCGTTGCCCTTACGAGCGAAAAAGTCTTTTGTTAGCGCGTCTAAAATGTCGACACAAAACATCATGTCACCCTTGCAAATTGGAATGTCCATGGAGTAAATTTTATATTTGTTGGGTTTGTGGATTTGTAAAGGAGGTTCCAGCACGTCAAGAAAGTCCGAAAGTTGGTCATAACGGATGTATTGTGTCCCATCTGGATCAAACTGCTGCCAAATCTCGTAGTACATGTCGTAGTCATCATCTGTTAAACCTTCTTGTACGTCTTCTGTTGCCTGGGAGTAGTTCTCCAAAATCACAGCGATGTACATATTGATGACAATGAGAAAAGAAATGACGAGATAGCTGAGCAGAAATGCAATACCAATTGTCGAATTCCCACAATTTCCAGTCTCTCCTATCTCAGTGTTTGGAGGTTTACAATCTTCTTCATTGATAATCCCATCTAATACTCCATCCCAACCCGCCGAGGTTGACATCTACACCAAACCAAAGATTTATACAAATCCAATATTTTTTTTTCTAATACCTGGAAGAGAAGAATCATCGACTGTCCAAATGTTTTAAAGTTGTACACATCATCCAATCCACTCTTATCTTTCACGTGCATGAAGAAAGACATCCCGAAGATGGCAAAAATAAACATCACCAAGAACAACAACAAACAGATGTTAAACAGTGCTGGTAGTGACATAGCTAATGCAAAAAGCAATGTTCGGATGCCTTTTGCTCCCTTGACCAAACGAAGAACTCTTCCGACTTTTGCTACACGAACAACTCGTAACAATGTTGGTGACACAAAATATTTTTCTATGATATCACTTAGAACCAAACCCAAAATTGATAATATTACTACCACTAAATCGAACAAATTCCAAGGTTCTGTAAAGTAGTGGTAACGTAAAGCAAAAATTTTCATGAGGCACTCGGTACTAAATATAACAATGAAAATCATGTTAAGATAATCGAGAACTTTCGTAAAAGTTTCTTTTTGCTGGTAGTGATCCATTGTCATCGTAAGCATGTTCAGTCCAATAAACAACATGATTATCATATCAAATTTCTTATCTGTTACTATTTCAAAAACTATAGCTTGAGGTCTCCACTACAATCACCTAATTAGATTTTTACAATCAGAGAAATTTCTACCTACCCTTGGCCTTGGTATGGCTTTCATTGGTTTCTTAGAGCCCATTTTTTTCATTGCATTATAATACTTCTTCTGTGCATCTGTCATCATCAATGCCAATGAATCACCACCCTTTTTCTTTTGTTCATTAAAATTATCAATAATCACACCAATGAATAGATTAAGCGTAAAAAACGATCCAAATATTATAAAAAATACGAAATATAAATACATATAAATGTTTGTTTCTCTTATTGGTTGTTTGTTAATCTGAAATTTAATTGATATGAATAAAAAAAACATGTGTTTTTCTTACATCTCTAGAATCTATAGCATCGTTCATAATTTGAATCCACCCTTTAAATGTAGCAACTTGGAACAAGCACAAATATGCTTTTCCTACATGATCAAAATTCATTCGAGAGTTTTCCCACGTGTAATTTTCAGCTTTACACGCATTTACATCAGGAATAATTTCATAGCTTAGTGTTGTTTTATTTGCATCCACGCACTAAAAATTCCTGTTCATCAAACACACCAAAGTTGTATCTATTACAATACCTTGAAGTATTTACCAGCGAACAATTGTACACCCATTATAGCAAAAATTAACCAAAATATTAAGCACACTAGCAATACATTGAAGATAGATGGTATAGCTTGCACCAATGCGTTTACGACAACCCTCATCCCTTGCATACGAGACATTGCACGAAGTGGTCTTAAAGCTCGCAGTGTTCGCATTGTCTTAAATGCTTGAATTCCGCCAGCACCACAAAGAGAGGCAATAAAATTAATTAGAGATACCTAAAAACCAACATTAGACAAGAAAACAATTGTTTTAGACATAAATCGTACCATTACAATCACAAAATCTAGCCAGCACCAAGCATTTGTAAAATATTTTTGGAATCCTAACGCTAACCATTTTATCAACATTTCAAAAAAGAATATCACGGTAAATATTCGATCCATATAATACAGTATGTCTTGCAAAATTGGTCGACTCTGTAAATGTACGTCTTCTAACGCCAATGCCATACTACTTAACAAGATCATTGTGATTACAGCCGTTTCAAAATATTTATTCTCTATTAATCTATAAGTTTTTGATCTTAAATTCCCCCAACCTTGCCAAAATGGCGAATCTTCATCGCCTGCAAGAAACGGAAACTTTTTGTAACATGATTCAGGGAAGCAATCAGCTGCATAATCATCTATAATTATGTCGTCAGCATTTCCCACAATGATAATGTCAGTTAGTGGTTTTTCCATATCAAATCTATCGTCTTCTACTTCTTCTGAAATAAGCAAATTTCATGGTCTTAAAACCGGTTGTTATAAAATTTACCATCTCCAATTCCTAATTCTTCTTTACTAGCATCTCGTTTCTCTTCATGATCGTCTAACATATCAACACTTCCTTTATGACTTTCCTCTTTAAATCGATTTTTATGACTACCATACGATTTATTACTAATTTCGTCTTCGTCGAGGTGACCGATGTACATACCATGTTCTAAAATTGAATTTCCTATTGTTTTGCTTTTGTTAATATTATTTTTGCCTCTTTTGGGGTCTCCTAAATAAAATTGTAAAGGATATAAAAAAATTAAAACTTTCTTTAATACCATGAACGGTAAGATCCATTCCAGTACCAATAGTTACTTCTAATCGATCTTTCGGACTTTTTTTAATTATACCATCGGCTAAAATTTCATCTCCTGAGATATCTAAACCACCATCACATCTCACATCTAGAATTTTTGCTTTCATAAGTATGTGACAAACATCAATAAATTGTTATAATATTTTAGTAACAGTTGGAATAAACACAAATTTATCTAACTAGAATTGTAGTTTTGTTTGTCGAAAGCAAAAGAAATTTTGCAAATATATGAATTTGTGATAAAGTAACATTTCCACATGCAAACAAAAAAGTATGTAAAGTATTTGTATTTAACCAACTTGTCAAAATTGGACTAATTTTGTGTTTTAGTAATTGACACTTTCGATAGATTGTATGTGCAAAAGACGAGAATAGATAAAAAAATAAAACATTCACGAAAGAACCCAACGCAAATAAATAGAAACGAAAGCAAACGAAATAATCTACGCCACACGTTTGGTTAACTGTTGTAATTGTCGCTCTATCATGCGAAATGATAATTTGCTCAAAATAAGCACTACACTTGTAGAGCAAGCAAAACCAGCGAGCTATCAGATTGTTGGATAAAAACCTTGGTTCCAACTGTTGGACGGTCCCTCACCTGACGGCTGGTCGGAAATTTGGTTGGTGAGCTTGAATCGGACCAGTTTTGCGATATGTAAAACATTGCCCTTAACCCATCTTATAAAGCGGCCGATTCTGTCAAAAGCTTCTGCTATTTTATTCGTGTCATTGTCAGCAGTCGGTGCTGACAGACTCGACGATCCAAAATTACTCAAAAGCAGAGCTAAGAAAAGATTAAGAACCTAGCAACCAACGTACCATGTACCCAAAAGATTCAGTCAATTAACGGCTACGTACCACAAGATTACCAATCACAACGGTTGCAAGAAAGAATGGGATGCAAGAGACGTCACCCACTAACATACAGTCCCACATGGATTCAATCCATTCACCACACAAGACTCGAAAAACTATCATAAAGGAGTGCATAAAGTCGGTGAAGTTCCAACGGGGAAGTTCATGGTCGAAAAACCGATCAACGTTATCTAAAACTAGCTAGAAATTTTTGCTCAAAAATAATACAATAAAATACCTGTGTAATTTTTTCCAAACAACTGCATACCCATAACGGCAAAAATAAATATTATAATGCAAAGTACAAATGTCAAATTTCCTAAAGCACCCATAGTTTTACCCATTATAGAAATGAGTAAATTTAAAGTTGGCCACGACTTTGCTAATTTAAATACTCTCAACTAAAATATAGAAATATTTATTTCTATTTTTACTAAATGAAAAATCATTACCAATCTAAATGAACGCAACACTGATAATCCTTGAACTCCTTCCAGTCCAAGTTCTAACAACGATAATGCCACTATAATAAAATCAAAGATGTTCCAACCTTCCTGAAAGTAGTATTTTGGACTCATTGCAATTAATTTCATCGTAGCTTCAATCATAAATGTTGCAGTAAAGAACTAAAAATTGATGTAAAGTTTTGTGTTTCATGTAAAATTGAGACTTTACGTAATTTCCACTTTTCAAAGCTCTTTCTAAATCCTTGTCCATGTCGTGATGGTCCAGTGCCATAAACAAGGTGTTAACAACAATGCACAACGTAATAAAAAGTTCAACGAATGGATCAAAGACAATAAGGGCGATAAACTTCTGAATAACAACCCAACATTTACAACAATCCCATACGCAAAACATGTCAATGATTCTGATGGCATATTCCAGAAATCGTTCCCTGAATGTTGGTTCCTCCTCTTCGTCGTCATTATTGGCTGAGAAATAATAAACAGAAACTGAACAAAGTATTAGTAAAAGTGATAATGACACACTCTTTTTGGGAAAAGAGGTTTTGTGCAATGCGATAGTGCGACAGCCGTTCTTAACCGCTGGTTAAGTCTTGTGTTGTCATTGTTTGTCGCTTATTAAAGCAGTAAAACAGTTACATCAACACCATCGAAAATTGCTTGGCCATTTTTCGGTTAAGAACAATCAAGGCTAATACGTGTTCTAGTAAGTGGTTACTAGAAGCTCATGCCGTTGCAAATATGCAGCCAGACCGCTGATAAAACAATAGCGCATTTGGCTTTAATCAAACAGTAACTAAACGATTCCAACAACAAATCTAATAAAATAACTAATGGAATTATTTCACTCCTTAACTGTTTGAACCAAAAGCTGTTATTTATTAGTATCGAAACAATTAAAGAGCGAAAATGATATCTATCTAATCAGATCGATTAAGGGTGCTTTAAAAATGGTCAGTGCCAAACAGATTACTTGAAAATTTATCAAAATTTTTATTTACCTAGAAAAGTATTTCTTGTTTACATTTCCTCCACATTGTACAAATGTAGTAAATAAATATGTATTAGTTTGTATGGTCTAGCAACACATGATTATGATTTATGATATTCTAATTTAAGCAAATTGCGATGGTGTGTAAAGATTAAGTGTGAAAGATAATTTTTGGGGTTGAATGAATTAGAAACTTACCTCCACGTTCACTCCCTCCACTCACAGCAGCTTGCTCGATAATATCATTGAGCACCATAACATCTAAAACCGAATAAGAATCACACTTTTCCCAAAATCTCACTTTACCTTTCATGTCTACGACTGTCTGTCGCTGATTGCTATCAATGAAAGGATTGTCAATTTGCTTAACTTTTGATTCGCAAATATGCCCCGTGGGACCATCCTGGAGAAACATTTCTATTACCAAGTGACTTTTTGATTTGAAATACTTACATAGACGCCTCGTGTTGACTTGTGGCTTACGGGAGCGGCCGCTGGTCCGTTTCTCAGTGATCGGTTCCTGAGTTGACTCTCCTTTGTCATCATTTTCCCATTGCTTCCCAAACCGCCTAACAAATCTCCATGAGAAGTGTATGACATCCGTGAGGCATGTGAAGTGTACGATGAATGACGTGATCCTTAGGTTAGAGTCATTTTAAAATGAACGCAATTTCTTTGTTGTGTTGAAAGAAAAATGGGACTTCCAAAACATTTATGACAAATGGTGATGATCAAATACGTACCCAAATTGGTGTAATACATCGGGAGGACCATGACGCCGTTCTCCTCGCTCATGGGGGTGACAGCGTTAGAATCGTCGGCGTAAGGAAGGTGTTCTTGGGCATCAAGATAAGTTGAAAGCACCAAAGGCTTACGATCACCCGGCGGAGCCACCATGCGTCTGTTGTTTCTTAAAGTAAACTGGTGGCTACCTCGGGACCCTCGCCGAAGATTGAAAGGAGATCCAGGAAGGCTGAGACTGGCCTGTACACGGGACATAATCTATACATGCGTGTTTATGTTTAAAGTGTCAAAAAAGCCTAGCACAATAGTGTGCTTTTCTAGTCTTCTGAAATCAGCGTGACAGTGACAAGGCTAGGTACACTTACAAGAGGAGAAAACAAAAAAGCCAAGCAAAAGTGAAAAAAGAACAATAAAAAGAGTCTAGACACTATAATTGTCATGATCTTTATTTCTCTTAGTCAAACATTAATTGAAGTATTGAAGCAACATTCTCTAATTTCAATTATCTCCCAATAAATATCAAGACACTTACAGCGCTGACTTTCCGCATCTTGCTCAGATTAGTAGGAAGTCTTCTTTGTTCACTCACGGAATCTAATCCTTCAGAGCGTATGCTAATCTTCTCCTTGTTGTTGTCATCTTGACCATTGGGTTGTCCCACAAACGATTCGTAACTATGACACGAGTAATCCGAAGACGATTTTATGATATATTGATCGTTGTCACACCCTGCTGCTGCTGCCGCCGCCGCAGCTGCTGCTGCTTCAGCCGCCTCCACCGCCGCAGCTGCTCTTGCATCTGCTCTATCTTGTTTATCCTTTGCCTTTTGCTCAGCTTCCTATGAACCTAAAATTCTACAACTGTTTTCAAAACACCACTAATTTACCCTAATAGCGTTAGCTTCAGCTTCTTCCTCATCTTGGGCTTTCTTTTGTAACTCATCGTACGACATAGCGACGATAGCCAAAATCAAGTTAACTAAATAAAATGAACCCAGAAATATAATTACAATAAAAAATAGCATATGCCAAGGACCGGCTGATCGTAAAACCTGAAACCAATAATTAGTTCGTGCCCAAATCTTTAGGATTTAAGTACCAATTGATATAAATTTTCCCAATAATCTTGAGTCATTAATCTGAAAGCGGAAAGTAAAGCCCAACCAAAAGTATCAAAACTGGTGTAGCCATAATTTGGGTTAGGACCGTAACCCTGTAAACAAATGTAACCTTCTTTGCATAGTCCTGATCCTGAGGAGTTTCCACACAATGGTCTTTCACCTTTTTCATCGTCCCAATACCAATTAGCTAGAAAGCTTTTTATAACAAGACTAGTTTTATATGAGAGAACTTACATTCGTTGCTATTAAATCTCTCCCAACTTTCATGAGTGAGGTTCCCCCATGAGCCATCCAAAGGAAATTCTTTGATACATTTTTGTGTCAAAACACCCATATAAATTTGTAAACCTATCAATGCAAATACTGACAGAGAAAACATTGTTAAAATTATCACATCTCGGAGATTTTTTACAGATTCTATTACAGCTCCCACGATAGTCTTCAAACCTATATATTGATATACAAAATTAGAACAGTTTTGAATTTTTTGACACTTAAATACCTGGCACAATGGCAACAGTTTTTAGAGCTCGTAGTACCCTAAATGTTCTCAAGGCAGCAAGATTTCCAAGGTCTATACCCATGGTGACATAACTGTAAATTTTTAGCTTTTATTATTTGATACTAATGCGTGTCTTGCTACTAAAAACACTAGAAGCTTTTTTCCACATTATACTAAACAACACAATATACATCATAATGCATTGAATTATGTACCAACTTTGTAAGACATTCTAATTAAATCTACTATAAGTTTCTATCAATTAAATTATAGTTCTAAACTAGTCTAGATTATGTCTTCGAATTCTCTAATTTCTGATACAAATATTAATTTCTAATATCAAAAACGATCAGAAACTACAATATTTACTACTCTCATTAATACAATAAATTGTAGCAGTCACAGTAAACTCACTTGGAATATTTTAATTGCATTTAGCCAAAATTACAAACAATTTAAGCCAATATAAAATATTTTCATAGCTGTGAAGTAAGAAGGAGTAAGGATACTTAAAATTCAGATAAATTAAAATAGGTGAAAATAGTTTAAAATCATATTTAAATTAAAAATTAAGAAGTGTGTTTTTTACAAATTAATTTTTTTAATTTAGAAATCTTACTAGTTTTCTAAGTCATCTAGACTTGTATGTGGGTATTGCAATTGTTTTTAAGTGTGCATTTTCTTTTTATTTATATTTTCTCTGTACTATGTTACAAATTGTAAAATGTTGGTGTGTTGATGTTAAAAATAATTTAAACTAATAAATCGACATTATTTGGAATTAGAAACTAATCTAGTAGTCACCATCTATCATCTAAATCTAAGCTACTCACGCTAAAGCTATGACTACGAAGTCGAGCCAGTTCCATGCATCTCTAAGGTAGGTGAACGGTTGAAGAATAAAACCTCTCGCCATCACCTTCACAGCTGATTCAAACGTGTAGATTCCTGTGAATATCACTCTAGAAAAGAGAAACTTGCTTCAAATCTAAACAGAAAGATAATCAAAGACTTACTCGGTTGACTCTACGGTGGGTGTTGTGGGCATAATCATAAGGATGCAATTAACAAGGATGGTAGTAATGATAAAAAGAGAAAACAAAGGATGCACTAGAATGTAAATGGCTACTCGACGGATTGGATTAAAAGGATCGAGTACCCACAGGGCGTTTGTTGCGCTAAATCGAAAAATGTCCTTTCCTTTACTAACCACTACAAAAGTCTAAAAAAGAAAAATCAATCTTCTAGTTGGACCAAACCCATCCCTTACCCTTTGATTACTGTAAAAAGGGTCGATGTCTTCAAGTGGTGTACTAGCCAATTCCGGAGGAAAGGTACTGTGAAGACGTACTGGCAAGGGCAACCCCTGCTCCAGAGTTGGATCAGGTTGGGGACCTTCATCTTCGTCCTCGTCCTCATACCGAATCTGCGTACACACCCAAAATTAACATCTTTGCCAATTACACGATTCCCACCTGGCAAGTATTTGGTTCAAAGTTTTTCAAGTTTTCACTTCAATGTTAATAGTGGTCAAGGAGAAAAATACGACAAAAATGTCATGCAATGAAAATATGTGTGTTTGGCAGAAGCTGGGAAAAAACCAAAAATGTTAGATACACAATTTGCGACTAAACAAATTTGTTGTTTCTTGAGAAGAGTAACTAAAGTTAAAGTAAATTAGAACTGAGTTCTCTATCAAGCCTCAACTAACTCTGTTTGCTATTATTCTCGCTAGTAAATGAAAGTTTGAACAACTTTTCGTTGAAAATTCAGTCTCAAGATTATCTAATTTAGAATAAAACAAGTAAATAAATAACGTGTATGTTTTAAAAAGTGTAGCAAGCAATTAGAAATTAGAACTAATGCTAAAATCTTTTCTATTGTCTAAAATAATGTAAAAAAACTAAGACAGGCTTAGTCTAGTATGTTCTTAATCATCCACCTAACTCATGCTATGTGTACTTGTACGTAGAGACTATTTTTAACCAAAAAAAATTGATTATTGCCCGAGTTAAAAATAGTATCTCATTGGTTATAGATTAGTAATTGTGATGTAGTATTATAGTTGAAATAGTGTGCTTAAAATTAAGTAAAAATGCACACATTTGAAGTGAAATGCAGTAAAATGATCTAATCAAGCATTAACAAAACGAAGCAAGTATATTCAGATGCAACTGACGATATATAGAAGAGAAAGGAAATAAAGAAGAAAAGTGGTTTGTGAGCCTTTTGTTGGCGATGTCGTTAGAAATTTAGAAAAATCGTCAGAGGCATTAAATCGCTAAAAAGCAACTTTTTGGAGCATTTTTAATCATTAAGTCTTACATCTTTTTTCTTTTTCCTTCGTCCAAAACCGGTCTGCAATAAAGGTTATAGTTTAACATCGATAAGCACATTGCTTGACTACGCTACATCACATGGTTTTGGTGGTGTCTTATCATCGTGAAGGGTTATTAGTCACACTGACACCTTATTATCATCCTTCAGGATAACAAAGCACATATCCAGTGATGTTATGATATGAAAATGTAGAAATTTTGACATGACGCGGAAATCACTATTAGCTTTTTATAGCCTCGTGTAAATTACTTTAATGGGGTTTGAAGTTTACAACGTAACATAGAATCATGCATCCAAGCACATAAAAGTCCTGGAAAATTAAATACGAAACAAATATATACATAGAGTGAAATGTATGAAAAATGTATCAGTCACGGAACAACACGGTCAATATTTCACACTTGAAAGTGTTAAAAGTTGGCCAAAATCTCGGCTTGTGAGTGAAAATGGATTTGGGAGAGATGACAAAAGCGTAAAATACCTCTCCTTCAGCTCTTTTCTTTTCGAGCTCCTTCTGCTTAGCATATTCTTCCGCAATTCTAGTCTCGATGACCGCAAGAGACTCGCGTGTGAATGGACGGAATAGGCTGAGCTCCTCCTCGGACGAATAGTCAGAGGCAACGGACATGTCTCTTCGCGCCTAGGCCCCCACGATACCCTAGAACAACACCCAATTAAAAAATAATTACGATTTATGGCTTGTTGGGGATCTCCAAGTTCCATCTTTTTAAATTTTGCTCAGCGACGTCTGGAAGTTGCACGAAACACTTTCGACGCACATATACAATTGTCCTTGTCCTGTGTACTTTGAACTTTCTAATTCTCTTTCACAGAAAGAGACAGAATCAAATTGATTTCCACTCGCTTTCACAAAAGAGAGAGACGGGAAAATGTGATTGGGTGGAGTTTGTGACTGTTTCTAGACACTTGCTTTGTGTTTAAGAATATTTGTTCATTGTAATCTAAGAGGAACAGTGTTAAGTTAAAAATCAATTCTAGAGAATAGGTGGCTTGCCACCCTATACCGGAAATATAAATAGAAAGAAAGCTTTTCTCGTACAATAATAATAGACGTTGACAGCCTAAATTAAACACATGACAATTTTTCAAATTTATTTTTATCTTTAATTCTGGTTGATCAATTTGATGAAGATAGTCGATGAATGCGTCATTAGTTTTCCTTTAGTAAATTCATCTAAGATGAATGAGTCTTCGAAAAATCAATAAATGCAAATTCTTTGAGAAGCACACTTTTTGAATATTGCAACTCAAGTAGGCAATTAATCTCAAAATACTAGAAAGCTCAATTAAATGTGAAAGGTTTTAGGTATCGATCTGGATAATACAATTTAGGTTGGCTTTTTCTCACTATTTGTTAGGAAATTGTAGTTAAGTTTAAGTGTCGACCTTTTCAAAATAAAACGAATCCTTTTTAGTTGCGTTGAAGAAAATTAAAGAAATCGATTACTTCACATTTGCATACTGTACACGTAACCACAAGGTAAATCACGCAAATTTATTTTCAGTGCTACACTTATACTCACTCGTATTCAGAATGGGCAATTTTGGGGGCCAAAAACATTACTAACCTGAAAACAAAAAGAGAACTAGTTAGTAGTAATTTGTACTCAATTCAAACTATGTTTAGTATATTTTCTAGACATTTATGGTCATGTGGGATGATTGTTTATGAGTTAATCACAATATTGAGTTCTTAGGGCATAAATGAAATTTCTTCCATGTAATTAATACCGACCGTTCCTAGTGTACGAGTAATAGCTTGAATTAATGTAATTTGCGCGCGACATTTCCTTAATTATATTTGTTTCATTGATTTTATTAAAGAGCGAGCAAAAGATTTTGAATTTTTAGTTATTTAGCTTCACTTTCTCAGAGTGGCAACACAGAAAACGTCTCAAATAAATTTCAAAGTCGTATATGCACATAAACTATAAAACCTACTCTCGCATATATTCAGTAATATGAAACACACCTCTCTGTATCGTCATTTATTTATGTATAGCAGAAGAAAGTCAGACATATACAAAATAAGAACTCATGATTAATGTGGACATTAAACAGTCACACTGAGCAAATACGTTTGGTCTATTTTTGGCATTTGTAAATATATTCTTAGTAAATAAGAGAAGCTGCAAAAGCTTTTAAAGCGTTAAGATACTCAACAGGTTGGTAGGCTGTTGAACCGGAAGAGGCGGGATTAACCAAGCCAATGTTTATTAATTAAATTAAATAAAACTCTGTCCTAAAATCGATCGTGGCAAGTAAAAAAAAAATTTTCTTAAAATACAATGTATCGGATACCCCGGCGCATCCACCATTTTTACATACCTTACACTCTTAATGCTAAATTTATTAAAAAATATTTACACTTTCTATTTTCATTTTTATGCTGCTATTTTTAAATTATCGATAACAGTTGATTAGTTGAAGAATGAAATCTAACCATGACATTAAGAATATGCTATACATTATTAACGAACTTTTTAGGGTGAAAGACAGGTTAACATAAAATAGTTTAGCTTGACATTAAATTTTATAATGCCAATTTTACAAACTTTAAGTTTAATTAGAGCAAAAATGTGGCACAATAATTATCTTTTCATTTTCTCTTTGATCATTTTGTGAATGATTAAAGTGAGTTAATCATCGTAATTGCAATCCCAAATGGGTGTGTAAAAACAATCACATTTAAAAGCCCCCACTTATATTAATTATAAAAACTAGTGTCATTTTTAACAGAAACAATGATTGTATTTTTACTATAAATAAACTGTGTCTTAAATTAAGTACTATTAAGAAATAAAACAAGCAATTCTTTATGATTTTTCTAATAACTTCATTAAATATTAAAATATAGTCGTCAACCTGTCTAAGAAACTTTGTCAGGTCTAAGATATAAATAAACTAATAAAAGTGTTGTGTTGATTTATATCTTTATGAAATATAACTAACATAAATATTTGATAAATACAAAACACACCTGTTAACAATAACAAACTGTTTAGATATTTATCAAAATGTTAAATTAAGTTAAGATACTGTAATATTCCATGTAATAATCAGCATAAACTGTAGTTATTTTTTTTTAACTTCTTAAGAAAACAGTAAACAAACCACTAAATCAACATTTATGTTTTTATATCAGTATTTTTTAGTAAATTCGCCGATGAAATTGTATTAATTAACTCAACATCCAAAATCCATTTATGCGTTTGCGAGATATCACCTTTAACTTATTGATTTTTGGTACGTACTAACGTAATTATTTTATTTATTAGTCATGAAACCAATTTTTAACAATAGAGCCAAATGATACAAAACTTTTGCGCATTTATAGATTTTCTTGAAACGTAGAAAGGATTTATATTTTGATTTATTACTCGAGGTAAACTTTCTCTCTAAAACCTTTATTATTTGTTTTAAGTTTACCGAAAATATATAGAACGTTTCCAATTAGTCAATATTTCAAACTTTCCGAAACAAATTACCAAACTTTATTCTCATACTCTATTTTAGAAGAACTTCCATTGCCAATAATATGGTAACTGGCTTTAAGATTATGATATTTTTGCGTTTAAGTAAGTCATTACAAGTGTTTTAATTTGATTAAAAAATAAGGTTTTTTTATTGACTTGAAAATAGTTAACAATTATGGTGGATGCGCCGGGCAAATATTCCTACTTGTTAACAAGTTATCAATTAACTAATTAATAGTCATGATCAATAAGCTTTTCACGGTAATCTATTTTAATTATAGATTATTAAATATGTGGTCAATTTGTTGTAACTCAATGAAATGTGTATGAATAATTGAGTAATTTTAATTTGATTTTAGGTGCGTTTTTGTGAGTTTAAAATGAAACACATAGCGTGATAGTAGAATTATAATGTATTTAGGGAAATTTTGATGAGACATGAGTTATTGAAAAAGAAAGAGAACTAGCTTAAGACCCACCTGCATTGAGGTTTGTCAGAATAATCACATGGCACTGTTTCTAACATTGAAGATTGGCGAAAGGCGGTTTCATGGACAGCACGAGGACGAGCAAGATTTTGAGCAGTATATCAGTAACGGCAAACGATAAACGGCAACAACAACAGTGTAAGCACTGCAAAGACGGCAAAAATAAGCGGTTTAAGTGCTAGTTGATAAGTGTGATACAAGCTCGAGAGGGATTGTGAACGAGCCTTACAGTCACCCCTATGCGACAGAGCAAATCGATATTAAATAATGAGCCACAAAGTTACCAGCAGATAATCGTCGAATTAAAGCCACTCTACTTACATCAACTCTCTTTGTTATGTGTGTATGTCCTTGAAAAATCATCTAGGATATTAGTCTTCATTTATTGCTAGTTGTGGTGCACTGAATCGAAAATCGTAGGCTGGTCGCGACAAGCACAGCACATCCCGAAAGACACTCGCGTTTAATGCCTAAAGGCATTCCGCATGTCTTTCGTGTAAAGATCACACGCGTCTTCGCGCCCCCAGCACTACTCCGACTTCTTGTGCGGTCGCCATTTCCTCTAGGCTGCAACGTCAATCCTGATGCGCGGTTGAGATAGGGCGGATGCGCCGCGCACCCCCTTTAAACTTAAATCTACAAACTAGAAACCCTCAAGCCAAAATTCGACAATAGCAAAAAGAAAATTGTCGATTTGAGCTTTTCTGGCGCTTTTTGCGCCCGGCGCCTCCACCACGCTGCTTTTCCTTAACCCTTCTTGGGAGACTGACTGGCGCTGTGACGTCAGATGGTCAGTAATGTTGCGGAAAGCGTCGCCATGACGACTGTTATATTATATACCGCCGTAAACGCCTAGCCAACATTCCAGATCGATAGCCACAATCAGGCATACCAACAAACCAAACCGAAATAACACGCGACTACTTCCACACCACGTGCTTTGTTTAACCCTATTTGCATACAATTCATTCATAACTTACACCCAATACGCTCCTTTATGCAAACATGAATGATTATCATATTGTGCAAACAAAACAATCCAAAAATTCCTCCAACTCAAACAAACACAAGATTTTCTTTATTACTAATCAAAATAAAACAATAATTGTGCTTTGGAAACTCTCCAGCAAGTTTCAAAAATTATTTAAGTTCCCTGTAGTATAATTTCAACAAAAACTAAGTAGTGAATAATTTAAAATTAAATACACCAAACTGAAACTACTTAAAAATTTTATTTTTAAACATTGCTACACTAAAAAATGAAATTTACTTTGTTTCACTACCTAAACATAGGTGGTGCAAATATTGAAGGGAACTGTGATTTAGAAATACCTAAAAATACAAACAAAACTTTTTGGAATATTTGTCTACTGGCAAAAAGATGGTGCTAGTTGTAGCTCGCAGAAGTCAATACTTTTTCCTACGACCATATACGAAAGTAGATCATAACGCACGAAAACCTGTGCGATTTGTTTTCGCACTGTGTGTTAGAAATCTAACGCACAATTCACACTCGAATGTTTTGTATTTTTTCATTTAACGTATTTTTTTTTGTATCCATTATAAAAAAATAAATCGTTATTCAAAGTATTTTTGTATCCATTATAAAAAATAAATCGTTATGAAAAAAAATGTTTATTTATGGTTGTAGGTAAAATAGTGCACAAAACTTGCAGGAAAGAAGTGTCTAACGCACTCGCGGTATTGACTGCACTTGTGCGTTATTTATCACTTTACGTGCTCGATATATTATTATCACAATACAATTTAATTTTCTTCCTGTAGTCCTTTTTGTTTATTCAAGTACTCTACACATAGAATTAGGCTATATTTATATTTAGCCAAAAAAGCTTTAACGAAAACTAGAATTAAAACTTTTAATGAAGGAATTGAATTGAAGACGTATCTTCTGAACCATGAAATAAATTCAACATCAAAGACACCTAAAGTTTTATATTTCTATAAAAAGTTATTTACTACGAACACTTTTTTATTTTATAATACATGTTAATTAAAGTTTTAAAACGAACACAAAACTTAATCTGGTAAGAGGATCAGTGAGATTTTATCAAATTAAATTGAAAAATGCATGAGGAGCGGTTTCAGAATGCAACTGAAAGATTTAAAGATCAAAAGCTTGAAAAATTGAAACTATGCAATTAGTTGTTTGCTTTGTAGATAGATAATTTTAATACGTGTAGGAGTTGGAAACTAAATTTAGGAAAGAATTTTCCTGAAACATAATTCTTTCTGTGCTTATTAACAGCAAGTTGATAATTTTATCAGGAAATAAAAGTAGTAGGCAAAACAGGAAGTCGAAGATAAAAACGTGGCATCAATTTTATAAAAATTATTCGAGCGACTGGTCTTCGTGTGTCTGTATCAATAAAAACATGAACGTTTCATTGATCATTATTGTGATATCGACAATTATTTTAAAAGAAACAGTGAGTTTATCCATCAGAAATAATGGTATACGCTCCAGTTAATATTTGACATGATTTAATTTGAAAATAGAGCAAGTTTTAGTAAACAGACCGTTCAAAAATGTTAGTACATCTCCGAGCGAATTTGAACATTTCCGTCGGAAAAGATATCTCGGCTTGAGTAAACGCTTTAAGGTGATTTATTTGAGACTTAATTCTATTGCTTCAGCACTTCGTTTCAGATTAACAAGAGATATCAGGAATGTGTCGCGCCCGACGATGCAAAAGGCCATTGCAAGCACTTAGTTTTCTGTCCAATTTCAGTGTTGAAAAACACGAAAAATGTCCTCGATTCTTTGTGCGTCATCGAGCGAATGTAAGGGTGTTTAGTGGAACAAAGAACAGATTAAATAATTATCCTTTATAGGCACGTCGGTGTTTGTTGTCCTGATGATATTGCATTAAGTGGATTAGCAGGTTCCCAAATTATTTTAGATCTACCCGGAGGTGGTGACGATTACGATGAAAAAGATAACACTACAGGTAAGCAAAATAATGAACAAAAAGCAAAATGAGAATGTCCTATAATAAGGCTGCGGAATTCCGATTGAGGGAAACCCCGGCCGGAAATCGATAGGTCAGCAATGGCCTTGGATGGCCGCACTTTACCGACCCAAGCAATTAGCCCAAGGTTTAGAACAACAATTCTGCGGAGGAGCTCTTATCACGGAATATCACGTATTGACAGCGGCTCATTGCACTATGGGGTAAAGTCGTCCAATTTCCAAAACTCGTTTAAAAATAATCACTTCAGACTCACGCCCGATGAAATACGCGTTCGTTTAGGCGAATATAATTTTGCCAACTCGAATGAGACACGTTCCATTGATTACATGGTGGAATCAATCACCGACCACGAAGAATTCGATAAAGCAACCTATGCTAATGACATTTCAATTATCAAAATGCGCAAACCGACTAGTTTTAATTCATATATCTGGCCCATTTGCCTCCCTCCCATCGATAAAGATTTTGAAAAGGAAGTTGCGATTGTCGCTGGATGGGGACAAGTTTATTATTCGGGACCCGTCAGTCAGGTACTTTTGCACGTACAAGTGCCTGTGTGGACACTCGAAAATTGCTCCAATTCTTTTCTACAAAGGATCACCGAGAATAATTTATGCGCTGCAGGCTACGATGGCGGAAAAGATTCATGTTTGGTAAATTTCAAGCTTTTATTGTATTATAGTACAAAAACGGATGCTCTAGGGTGACTCCGGAGGACCCCTGATGTTCCAGCTGGACAATGGACGCTGGATTACCATAGGAATTGTATCCTGGGGCATCGGTTGCGGAAATAAAGGTAGTCCAGGCATTTACACCAAAGTCAGCAGTTACATTCCCTGGATTATCAAACACACGATAGCCAAATAATTTTTATCCAGACAAATATTGTATCCATGACAAATTAACCAAATAAATTTTATGCCTTAAATCTCTCACTATCAGCGTGATTGCTTCATAATCCGTTGCATTAAAACAGTTTTTGCAGTTTTTTTTTTCTAAAGCTGGTATTTATCACGAATGATGTTTTCTCATTTCTCTCATATTCTGTGCGTTCTATTTTTTTTTTCACGCCTCCGTGACCGGCAGCTACATTGTGTCTCAATCGATAAAATTTTGTCGGAGTTATAAAATTTTCAGCATCTGTAGTTGATTTATATGTGAAAAGGTGCATGTGTGATGATAAATTTCCGGAAAATAATTGGTATTTATGAAATATAAATTTGAAATAAGTTATTCTGATTGAGCTTTGTGTTTGTTGAGCCCTTATCCCAAGTGTGGGTGACATGTTGACATGTTGCTACGTAAAAATCCCCAAATCCCAAAGGATCAAAGGGGGAATTATGTTTGACGCGAGTTGGTTTATTGCAGGAATGAGAGTGGAATTCAGTTTAAAAATCTTTATTAAGAACAATAATTAAAATAACCATAAATAACATATATGAAAATAGAGGAAACTGAATCACAAATCTGAACCTAATTTGACTTAGGTTATTGTTTCAATACTGTTTAATAATCCTGCCGTATACAATAAAATGATCCACTTCACCAATTTAGCAGGAGGATTGTTCACGCATTCGAATTGTACTCTGGGGGTGACGTTATGGAAAGTAAAGGTAACTCAGCTTCATCAATTTGATGTTCTTGTAAATTCATCGCGTTTAAAGCTTTGCCATTATTCCCCATTTGTTTTCTGACACTGCTGGGTAAAGGAGTGCTTGGAAGTTTGCCGGGTTTGGACTCGGTTTGTGGTGCCATGATAGTGGTTTTCTTCTCACATTCGCCATTAAGCCAATACGTAACCATTTTGCCCTTTCCCTGAAACAACCTATTTTTAGATTTTGATTTTGACCGGCTAATAAAAAATCCATTATCAATCGAATTAATTATCACTTACCTTTAATTCAACCTCGCCTCTGCGTTCAATTTCAAACGTTCCAAATCTATCCAGAAATTCTTTCGTAGCTAGACTTATATGCACCCTTAATGGACTTCCATTAGTCTCCATTCGTGATGCCGTATTGACTGTATCTCCGAAAAGACAGTATCTTGGCATTTTCAAACCGACAACTCCAGCAACGCAAGGACCGGTGTGTATCCCTATTCGAAGTTTCAAACTTTCTTCCGGTCGGTGTCTTATTTTGAAGGTTTTAACAGCTTTCAATAACGCTAGTGACATTCTTGCAATTTCTCGCGCGTGTTTGTTCCCATTTCTGACCGGAAGTCCAGACACGACCATGTAAGAGTCACCTATAGTTTCCACCTGTAAGAAAAATTTAATACATGTCATGAGTAAAAGTTAATCAATTAATGTACTTTGTAAACATCGAAGTTGTCGATAATGGAATCAAAGCATATGTAAAGGTCGTTCAGAAATTCGACAACTTGCAATGGAGTGCTGTTGGCAGAAAGTTGGGTGAAGCCGACAATATCACTAAAGTGTATAGTGACATTTTCAAAAGTTTCGGCAAGAACCGCCTCTCCTGTTATCAGCTGCTGAGCGACGCTTTTCGGTAGCAGCTGATAGAGCAACTCCTCACATTTGCGTTTCTCGTCCAAGTAATCAGCTGTGCGTTCTTCCACTAACGTTTCAAGGTTGTTAGCGTACTGCTCCATCCTTGCCAACAGATTGTCGAGAAGATTTCCATCGGATTCTCTGTAATGCAATTTCGTCAATTTTACATCGAGAAATGAAGTCGAGCTTCTAATACGATTTCAGCTTGTCACCGAATCAAACAAGTATAATTTTGTTTAGCTACAGATGGGATTTTGACGTACTTGTTTATATTCCTCAATTTTGTTTTGAGAGTGGAAAAGTCTGGTCTGTCGGCAGCATCTTCCGACCAGCACTTTTTCATCATCAAAGCCACCTCTTCCTCACATAGCACTTCTCCCAAAGACGGGCGAAATGCTTGGCCCCCGTTTGCGTCTGGTCCCTTACGAACAGCATCGACTTTTTCTGCGAAAAAATTCGGCGGATTAAACTGGGCAACAAGCCAATTGAGCAGGGCGTTGACCCTCAACTCAGCCTTTTTAGGTTCAAAAATTTTTCATAAAACTGTAAGCGCTTCAACAAAAACAAAAAAGTGCTTTTCATTCTTTTTAACGTTTCAAAATACCGCCATTAACCCACTGACACGTATTTGTGCTCAAATTAAACTTCTTTCCAACAAGCAACAATTTTTTTTACCTCGTCCTTAATTTTTAAGAAATTTCTACTCCACTGTAAAATAACATCAAAGTATTTGTCTCCTGGGGAGACTGCACTAAAGTTAATGTACTCTTTTGCCGAAACAATAAAATTTCCGAGCAGCTTTGTCGCGCTGATTGCATTTCCGTGGCAAAGACTTTATGATGATTTTAAGAATAAATATATGATAAATTAATAATTAGATTAAACACTAAACCTTAACAACGTACTGAGGCGGAAATTAATTCAGACCATGTTCCACGCCTGACTTCAATCTACGGCTCCACTTACTCATTTAAAAATCTCCAATAGCACACATCGTAAAAAAAACATGATAAATTACTAATTATTCTCATCAAAATCAATAGCGTTAAATGATTTACTAAGTACACAAATTCAAGCTTTTATTAATTTTCAAATTGACTTAATAGGTTGAAGCACTTCAAAGTGTTCTTTGCCCAAAATGGACTCAGTTTATTAACTGAAATTTGAAAGTCTTTATTTATAATTTATGAATTTATAAGCTAAAAACTTCTCTAATCAATAATGATATTAGAATTCGAATAAAACGAAACAGCGATTTTTGAAATAATTTCAATTTAATTTAAAATTATATAATATAAATGTCCAATAAAGCGATTGTCCTCATACATATTGTAATTTATTTTTATAGCTCATAAATTCCCGAAACTCATATTTACCTACAACAATCACCCAAACCGAAATAAGAAATTGCTTTGAGAGTCTAAGATGACAATATTTTTGTGTTATTTTTAAAATTCTTATCAAATTACGAAATAATTACATCAGTGATAGACTCCAGGACTAACATGCGATATTTAATTAATCAAAATTCTTGAAATTTTCTTGTAGTGAATTTTAAGCTGTTTTATTTGCCAACATTCTTTTAGTAAAAAAATCACGTCGTGTAATTCATTAGTGGAGCTAGTGCGGCACGGTAGTTGGGCAAAATGTGAATAATTTGATTAAATGGTAGCTAAGTTTAATATTGAAATGGTGATGAAACGCTCGCTCGTAATTCCAGTGCGTTATTAAATATTAACAAAGTCTAAAATACTGGTCGGTTAGTTGAAAACGATATTTGTGAGCAAGTCTCAAAGGATGTCGCAACATTTAAAAGTTTCCAAGCAAAACATTTGAAAGTTTGAAAACAAATAAAGATATTTGCGTATTGTGATACAACATGCGAAAGCGTGGGAACTGAATAAACAAAAGTTTTGATGAGAGTTTTATTAAAATTTGTGAGGGAAAAAACAAGTGCATGCAGTGTGTGAATTACTTAAATGTTTGAAGCGATCTTCAAGAATAGCATTGCAGTTATCACAATTAAGAGTGCAATGGGGCCTCCGGACTTCTAACAGAGGACTGACGGCCCTCCGAGGCGACGTATTCGACTCCATTTCCAGGCCCGGAGTTTCCGGCGGAAGAGTCAAAGACATGTCAGAACTTGCACTTGCCATGTTGCTCAGAACATAGCAAACGTGCCAGTACCGGTCGCAACTATGGTCGACGTCCTACTATCATTCCAACGACTAACTTGCTACTACTATATACTGAGAAATCAATGTTCCTGCGCCGGTCCGTTCTAAAGCACAGCTTGAAAGCTCGACTGATAGAAAAGTGTCTCAAATCTTGGAAATAATCCTGATTACTTTTAGATCAATTTAAACTAATGAAATTGTTGTGCATCATGCGCACTTTGATTTCGTTGCTTCCACATTTAAAATAAACCACCCAACAACTGATTAAACAATTAATTTCGACTAGTTAGCGATCAAAGAACCTTACGAGCCGGAAAATTCACTTGATACATATATCCAACCATTTTACGCTCCAGATAAAAGCAAAACAATCTGGGCTCTAATTTGACGATTAATAGAAAAGCAACTAGAAATTAACACTCCACATGCAAACAAAGCACCAGCTTTAACGGCTTTTCCGTCAATTTGCGCTTTTATCTTTGAAATTTTGAAATTTCCACAGCAATAAAGCTAAATTTAAAATTTTTGAAACAAAAAAGTCTTTATTAAATAAAAATATGAAATTTTCATCGCACTGTCAAAGAGACAAGAACAAAAACAGCTATGCACCTATTTCACACTAGTGCTATATTAGTTCTAATAGAGACAAATTTCATTATTTGAGTGAACAAGCAATTAGAGAATGTATGATACAAAACGTGAAACATAAAAATTTTGCACATTTAGAGTAACGACTAAATTCTGCGTCATTGACGACAGTAATAAAATGACAATAAATTGTCAATAATATTGGGCACTGAGCGATTTTCCAATAAAATTGAAAACAGGAGTAAAAAGACAATGCAATTTTTCAGTGGAATGATTTTAATAAAATTTGCAGTTTCATTATTTTTGAAACGGTAATTAAATATAGCCGATTTTAGTTACTTAAGAAAAATTTTCAGGCATTTGATGGATTTTAATTAAACATTCCCCATTTGAGTGTCGGCAAAATTCAGAGCATTGTTAAAAATGCTAAAAGTTTGCTTGTTAACCTGTTTCATATAGAGCGTCAGAGTTTCGTATTCAACTCACGTGATCAGGGATATAACTCACACAGAGGGAAAAATATGCGTAAGTTTTTATGGAATTTGCACGAATGGAGGTAAAGATGGCCAATAAAAAGTTAAATTATACTCACCTTCGGCTGTTTTAAATTCATCTAAATAAAATACTCCTTGGCGTACGATGATTTCGTGCATTATCATGCCGAATGAGTATATGTCTCCTTCTCGAGTACCATTAGGAGGGGGGTTTTCGTTCCGGAGAAGTTCTGGAGCTGTCCAAAGCTGACCTAGAGAGGAGATTAAAATCTTTTTATTTTTATGACAACCGCTTACGTTCCCAGTAACTATGAGACTTTGTTCCATCGTTATCAAGTCCGTGTTTTCGTAAAAAATGCAATCCAAAGTCAGATATTTTCAACACGAACCTGCTATTCACTAAACAGTTTGTTGATTTTAAAGCACCGTGAGATTTAATATCGGAATTATGCAGGTACTGCATACCACGAACAATGTCCATTATTAACGACATTTTAAACGTTGGATCGAGTATCACGCTCTCGTTTTCCAATATATCCTGCAAACTACCTTTCGCACAATATTCATTTAAAATGTAGTTTGGAATGTCTAAACAAGCGCCATAAAACTTCACTAAATTGTCATGCGATAAGTCTTTCATCACTTTTAACTCGATTAACTGTTCGCGATTTAACTCAATCTTGACATCTTGAATTTTTTTCACCGCCACTGTAATTGCCTTGTAGAAGGCCACTTCCGTGAAGAGTTGACGTTCGCCAGCCATACTTAAACCATCCGCTCCTAAAAACGTCTGAAACAAATTTATTTCATTGCAAATGCACAAATTTCCCTATAGCCGAACTCTTTTAACCAGGGATTTTTATAAAGGGAATTTATGTAACACGAGTTATCGGCTTGGATTAAAAAAACGTGAATATTTTCTAGCAGTTTGAATCAAAATGAATTTCAAATAAATTTATCAGCATACTTAAAAAGTAAATTCATGAAAATGCTAATTAGCTTAAGCCGCACTCTGCTGCCGACTCCCCACTACAAGCAATCAAGGCAAGGGTAAATTAAAATTTAACAGTTTAGGTAATAATATCGTAACTTGAAATTTGAGTTAGAAAAGTTCGGTACATTTTTATTTATTAAATTACAATTTGGCTTCCTCGGCGAGCCGATGAAGATGATTGAAAACTACTCCTCGGCTTATTTGGCATGAAAACGATATCATCGAAATCAATTTTCCAGGCCATAGAATATATAGCTTTCTTAAGCTGGAAATGTCTAAGAAGATGATTAGTTGTGTAATTTTAATGGATTATGACATACCTGTAGAGAATTACTCCCACGATCAATATAGCCAACCAAAACACCAGTATAAGTGTAATTAACAAGACTTTTTCCGTATCAAACTCTAAAAATTTAAAAAATATTAAAACCTTGTTAATCTTTATCTTGTTTGTTAGTTTCTAGCCTATTTTTCCTTAATAATAGATGATTTATGTCAACAAGCCGTGATAGAAATCTCGGTATATAAACAGATTCTAATCTAAATTAGAGTTACTAAACAAAAAATTAGAAACTAGAACTCTCACAAATGGCAACAATTAAGTATACAATTAGCCATAAAAAAATGATAAAACAAATATAGGAGACACAATAAAATTAATATCTTCGAAACTCATTTAAGCTGAATAAAAAGTCTCGTGAAATTCCGCTGAAGCAAGAGTGGCTCATATTTCGTCTCCTCTATTTTAATAATGAAAACTTGATCTTGATCATTATAAAACCTTACTTGGGCAAAGAGACATATCATAGCCACACACGGGTGTATCTAGTGGATCTTTCCCATTAATCCACTCCACATTCCAAGAAGTGATATTTTTATTAAGGGTTGTAAACTCAGCAACCACGTCGTAGTGGTCAGAAGCATTTAATTGAAGCATTACATAAGTTGCAACTCTTTGTCCGTTACAATTCATTGTAACATTTCCATGTTTTCCTGAAAAATAAAATTAAAATTGAGATGGGCCCCACACCGGAATAAAACCTGCAAAACTGGTCCCCATCATTTTCTTAATCATGTTATAACCCGTGAAATTTTCCGAAGCTGATAATGTTTGATTCAAAGCACTTGTGTACAACATCATTCCATCATACAAGCCATCAAGAAAAATCGAGCTTCCCTCAACTCGCCGATTGCGAAAGTTAATTGCTTCAGACGATGTAAACGTGAAAATTGAGCGAAAACCTTTTCTCGCCATTTCGTTGCGTTCATTAGTGTCATTTTCGTCATACCAAGGCTTTAAGGCTTGCTCAGTTCTACAAACATCCTCGATAAGGGTCAGAATTTTCGCAGTGAGTTTCAGATACCTACGTGTTGTAATATGTTTGAAAATTGAAAACTGTATATTCCCCACTTTCCATCATATTTAATTTCTGGGCTGCGATGGCAAATTCGCGAAGATTGGCCACAGTAGTGCAAGTCAAAATGACTGAAAAATTATTGAATTTCAAACGTAGTGCTATTAATTATAATTAGATCGTCGATAAGTGTTTAATCACCCAAGCCTAATGAGAAGCCAAATACACACTGTAATTATAATAATACGATGTTGTGCACTTATGACAATGTGTTTAACTTGTTATTTGATAAGTGCGAGAAGCGATCAATAACTGACGCACAATTTTAAAAATTACTTACTGCCATAACTGACCCCAACGTTTTCTTTCAAATAGTTGGAATAATCTTTATTTAGTAAAACTAAATCACCGTCGACATATTTAAGATTCTCAACCGATTTCACTTCTTCAACCACACTCGATAATATAAATTTGCAACTATTCTCTCCACCAACTTCGTTTTGTTGATTTTTTTCGTACATAAGAGCAATTTTTTTCCATTTGTACCTGAATATAAATAAAACAACTGAACGTTGTCCCGGCGTTTGATCTCACCTCTCCATTATTAAGTGAAAAAATTCACCAAAAGATCTATAGTCAATTGGACCTGTATTTATCGTCATATAATATTCATTCGAACAACCCGTTTTATTTTGCAGAAAATCACAAGTAAAGCCGCCGGGGGTTATTACAGGCATTCCATGATAACCAATGTATTTTGCAACTCGAGAAACACTTGCTAAAAATGAATAGTCACGAATTCTTCTAGCAAAATAAATATCTACCAAGGCAGTAATCACAGATTGGTCCAAGGATTAAACGAGTACAATTCTCACTCGCAGGAATTAAATGCACGGTCGCAAATTCCTGCATGCAGGAATCGTTATAATACTTAAAATCAAATTTGAATTTTGAGCCTGCGTCTGCCACAAACTCTTCAATTGTTTCCTGAGCCTGAAATAACACATGTAATTCTTTCAGCACATACCTACAATTTTTGTTCTAAATGTTATCTAATTGATTCCGAGCCGTTACAAGTATTTAATTTAAAACTTTCTTAATCTTACAAGATAAAACAAGATAATTATATCAATCGAAATCTAAAAATAGTTAAGTTAGTTAACCTTTCAAAAATGTAAAATTTTCAAATTTAAAAAAAATGCAAATTTTGTTTTCGGATACTTATCTACTTAATTATTTTTTTTTAATTGAAATGGTTGTATTAATGTCACATTGAGTTTCTCTAAATGAACAATTAAAAGTAACAATCTACTCCTCAAGTGGTTTCTTAATAATGCTATCATTTTTACAGATTTAAAAGTGTACCGTGTCGAGACACTAAAAAACACGAACCTTCTTTAAGTTAACTAAATAAAATTCCTGTTGGGGTAGTATAACAGCTACTTTAATGGTACAATTATTAGGATCATTGCAGGAGTCGTAGCAATGCGCGATTTCCATTTCTGCTTGTTGTTGACAATCTGAATCGTCTGTTTGACAATTGTCCACCCCCCATGGACGAATTTGCAAGACCGATGTATTCCATTCATAAGCAAAACCAAATCCAACAATAAAAAATATCCTGGATAAGTACATAACTAAACACTCGAAATTTACGACATAACCGCGGACAATTAACGACCCGCACTCAACACATTTTATGGAAGCAACGAATATACTAAGTTTCGATACTGTTGTCGATAGCAATTATAGATAGGGCCGCCCGCGCAGATAAATAGATAACTTCTATAATAAATGTGGACTATACTATGAAATTTCATAATTGATTAAGTACCATAAGTACCCCACAAAGTGTTACTAATTTATTACTACTACAAAATTCGCCAAAGATACCGAAATTTCTAATTTGATAATCTTTTTTATTGTCAAGTGTTTCCAAAAGCCACTATTTTAAATCTAATCAGATAGTAGGTACAATTTGACAAAGTGTGATACATTTCAGACAAATAGGTGGCTCAAACCTGAACCAAAATTTGACTGATTTCATCAGTTGTCAATAACCTTTTAAGAAAAATAGTTAATTAAGAAAATTTAATTATCTACCATATGGTTTTCACTTTAATATGATTAACAGATGGCTAAAATAATATCTTTTCTTTTAATTACGAATTATCATATATATAATAAATGAATAATAAATAGTATTAATAAAAAAAACATTTTTTTGTATTTTATTTGCCTTCATCTTGTGATATATATATTATTGAAATGCGCTCCTAAATACGCAATTCATTAGTTCTTTGCATTTTTCTTGTTATTGAGATTGTGCTCATTATAGAAGTATTAGCAATACTATTTTCAACTAATAAGCATGTCGCTTAAAAATGACCAAGCCGGTCAGTAAAATCCGTTTAAAGTAATCTGTTGAAAAGATTAATGTCAAAGCGAGCATTAACCATCCCTCGTCCAACTAGGGACTAACTCTAGTGCTTTTTTTTCTGAAAAAATAGCATAAAAAATCCGATTAAAAGCTGAAAAGTTTGTAACAAAAGATTTAAGTTGAAAGTCAAGTTTGGCAATGAACCAAAGTTCAAATCACGCAATATTTCGATCAATTCCTCCTAAGGGTATAGCAACAACAATTAAATTTATTTCGAGAAGTTTGAGAAAAAATTCAGTTGCACACTTTACAACTTGTTTAATATCCTCTTTTCCAACTATCGTAAGTTAGTTGAAGTGTCCTAACTTTGTTGATAAATGTTCATTCAGCTTTAAAAACACCAATAAGTGGATAAATATTGAAGTTTTAACGAAGTTAAACTTCGTTAAGTTCTATAGGGATTATTTATTTAGGACGAGGGAGTCTAAAAGAATATTTCAGGCGATAACAGAAAGTCTTTATTATCAATGAATTATGCATACATTCAATCAGTGGCGCAGCCAGAGATACAGTTTAGAGGGGGTTTATCTATGTAAAAAATTTTGGGCACTCATTCGAGTCTCACAATGAGACAACACTTTTTTATACTATTTTTCTATTCCATTTATTAGTATATTTGACCCAAATTGCTTGAAAATAGCCTCAAATTGCATTAGTTTCGATAAAATACGTTGATCTACAACAACTTCTCACAGTGATGGTAAAAATGTGGCATAAAATGTTTCTAAAAACAGTGTCACAAAAAGCATTCTGTACAAATGAAATCGAAAAAAGCTCTTATGCTTTTTTATGTTCCTTCTTTTATGCTATGTTCACTTATTTGTTCTCTTTCTTATTTTGCTTTTCGTTCTTATTTGCTCTTATGTTCTCTCTCTCTTATTCTACTTATTAGAACATGAGCACATGTTTTAAAGTTTGCGCTCTTATGCGCCCGCAATTTTTTCGATTTTTGTCGAAATTTTGGGCGATTTTCGGTACTCAGATAACTTGAGAATTATTGAAGCTAGTCCTCTTTGTTTAGTACCGTCGCAAATTTAATTTTTTATCGTATAAGAAAAGATAATTGTCCTACATCAAAGAGATATCGAGAAGATTGCTTCTAAACGATCAAGAATTTTGCAGTTTTCTCAACGTCAATCGATTTCTCAAAACATTTTACATACCAGGTGAATAAAAAGTATGGAACCAAACGTTTTTTGCTTAAACTATTTATTTTTTGAAAAAACTAATTGATGAGTGATAAAGTACTAATAAAAATGTGATGTTTTAATAAGAATAAAATTTTTCAAAATTTCCTTTTGTTTTTGAGTTCCACAAAAAAAGAATATCTTTTTAAATGGCAACCCACTATAAAATCATTTTTCTCATAAAAGCTATACTCTAAGGATTACAACTAGATGTTTTATATTGAATTTTTTCAAAAAAATTTTTTCACATAAATTGCAATTTTGACAAAAAAAAATCGCATAACTCAAAAACACAACAAAATTTTGTTCTGAAAATACGATCACATTTTCTATATTATTTTAATTTATATTAATTATTATTTTTTAGAGGCAAATGATTAAAAATAAAACCGCTTGGTTCCATACTTTATATTCATCCTGTATGTATGTAAACAATATAACGTTTGAAATACAGTTTTTTTTTACAAAATAGAAAAAGAAAAAAACCTGTGAATCTTCTGATCGAAATATAATTCTACAATATAATCTTAGTTGAGAGGTTTAACCCTCAAAACTCCCTTCTCACTGCGCCCCTGCATTTGATCAATCAAATCGTTTATTGCGTCACTGATGGATACGTATTAGATAATTATTACAAACTAATCCTATATTTGTGGTAGGCACCAAATTTTATTTATATATCTGTCATATTTATTACTATCTGATAATTTGCTAAAACCAGAAAATTAAAACTGAAATAAGTTTAAACTCTAGTTAGATACAATAAAGGGTTAGATATATTTCTTAATTAACTATGTAGAGGAACTGGTGTGTATAAATTTTCCTCTAATAGTAATCAGTTTCAATTAAAATTTGCATTTCTGAAATTTCCTGTGCAATTAAAATTCGCATTTTTAGAATTTCCTGTGATTAGCCTGCAATCCCGGTATGTATTTAATTTATTTCAAGAGTATTATTTATAATGAAGTACGATCCGTTTTAAAAAACTTTCATTTTATATTTGACGTTGGCAAAACAGAATTTATTGGAAAATCGAACAGTCTGATTAAAGGGATTGTCATATAGGTCATGTGAAACAAAAATGAATGACTTTGGATTAAAATTAACAATTAACAAATTTCATTGAACAAATTACACGAATTGTTTGAAACTAACCACAGCGGTGGTAAAATTTTATAAAACTGATGGAAAATGTGTTTCCCGGAAATTCTTATAATTAAATAGGAGTCGGTCGGTTCACAAAACTAATTGTCACCAAATGTAATTTACGAAGTAACAAACGTAATTAGAAAGTTTTCGATTTAATTAGTTTTGTCTTTGTTATTAAAAAGATATCAGCACCAACAACTTATAACTAATTTAAATTTCTAACAAAATTAAAGAAATTGTATCTACAAGTGTTAATAAAATTTAAACCATTATGTTTATATTAGTTTGTAATAAAAAAAGACATCATCAAGTTTTTTTCAATATTTTATTATCTTTGAAATTGTATACAAATAATTGAATGTGAAGAATATGCCACCACATAAACGGAAACAATTGTTGTGCCATCTCTGAGTAAATAGCTAAAACTTACAAAACATAAACAGATGTCTAGCAAGACTGAATTTTTTATTCCCGAATTATTATTTTTCACAGTTTTCTCCATCTAAAATATAAAAATTTGAAGTTTTAGTTAGTTGTTTGTGTAATAGATAGCAACTTGTCAAAAAACTAGAGTTCAAGAAACGGTACCAAAACACAAGATTAATTAATAAAAACTGTAACACAAAAATTTCTTTTTACTGCAACTACGCCACTATTCAAGTTCCCTCACTACATGTTCGCGAGCTCTAACATTCTAAATTTTGTAAAATCCAGTAGTAGCGAAAATATAAATCTAACGCTTAAACCACAGAAATTAAATTTACTATTACTGTTAATATTCTATTTGCTTATTGTGCTAAAACATGTTTGAATAGTTTTTAACAATGAAATTTTCTATATTGTATATTTTTATAATTCGATATTACGAGTTTTCTGAGTTATAGGTATTGGTACGATTGACTTAGGTCTGTAAGTTTGTATAACCTCCAAGCTGTTACAGTGTTCGTTTTTTTATTATTTGAATGTTAATCCCAAAATTAAAAAAATGTGTTCTACTCCGTAAGTGTATTACGACAATTTTGCAATATGTAATATTAAAACTTGTTTTTTCTTTCAAGTTTTTGGAGAAAAATCCACCAAACAATTTCCGGTCATAGTCAAAATATCACTGAAGATATAGTAACAGAAATTTTAAAACTCTCAAAAACGGAATTACTTGAAGGCCTCCTGAGCTATAGACCATATACCAAAAAGGGTTATCATGACTGGGTTGCAATTTCGGATGTTAGCATTTGCATGAAAGAATTTGTACATGATATAAGTCAAGTCCTTGTAAGTAAAAAAGTATTGTTTTTCTTATTGAATTACCATTTTTTTTTAGAACTTAGACACCAGTACTGCTTATCCGGTCATGTGTAACTATCTGATGTTTGAATATTATGGAAAAATTAAAGAGTTTTGGCAAATAACGAGAATGGGTTCAACAATACATTTGAAAGAAAGTATTTGGAATTTTTACACGGCTGAAAGAATGTTTTTGCTGAAGACATGGAGACACATATTCGAATGTGTTGATAAAGATTATGAATTTGCTGAACAGTATAAAGATTTTTTGAAAACAATTAAAATTGAGGAATTGCAAAATAACTTGATTACACAGTTTGAGGAACTTCTTAATGAGGTCACTTCAAATACTTTTGATGAAAGAAATCCCTACAATGAAAACTGGTTGTGTAGAAACATCAGGGAACAAATCGAAATTCTCTTAATTCTCATTCTAACAGCTACACATAAACCCCTTGATACGCCAAAATTGTCTCATTTAATTAAGTTATTTACTCAGAATAACTTTGGTACCCAACCTGCTTTTTTCGACATCAGAAAATACGCAAAAGCGCAGGATTTAGACCAACTGATGTATGCTGAAATTGGGTGTTACTTTTCCATTTTAGAAAATTATTGGTGGGTAGAAATAATAAATATTAAAAGAAAAATGACCGATATTTTTCCAGGGATATAGAAATTGCAGATTTTTGGAACCAAGACTCAACAAGTGAATTGGACAAGTCTTTACTTAACTTGCACCTCAATCCTGGCCACATTATAATAATGCTAGCTTGGTTAACTCTTAAATTTAAATCGCTAAATCGTGATGAAGACGCCGAAAAAATTCTCGAATTATTCAAAAGACAACCGTTTATTTTATGGCATAAAATCCTCTCAGATAGTATGTTTAAGGTAAAACGCATGATTTTGTCTTTCTGGTTCTAAAACCACACTTCCAGGATTGTACCGTTGGTGAGGTTGTTTTAAGAGCAACTCATAAAATGCTAGACGAACTTTGTTTGATGTTTGACGACCGAAAAATTCTCTACGAGGATGGTGGTGTAATTAAAATTCTTGCAGAGTTTCTCAAACAACCAGATTTGGCGGAAATTTGTTTGCAAACAAGAAATGGTTTAGACTGTATGATGGAAATAGCAATTGAGTCATTTCCTCACGATTTTTATTCATTTACAACCATTGCACAATCATTACTAGGACTGCGCGACCAGTACAAACAAGTAATTGTTTTTAATGTATTGTGACAAAAATGAGATGTTTTTTTAGACCATGCATTTGTTGAATAACTTCCCGTCGTTTTTGTCGGAAATGACGTGGACGATTCCTAAAGAAGAAATTTCGGTTTTGCGAAAAAACCAGCCGGCTTTTCCCGACAGTGATTTAATCGTTTTCCCACCAAAAACGGTAGTAAGATCGTATCGAATTTTTGGAAAAAATTTGATACAATACAAGGGGAAATATAGCTATTTTTTCCACCTCGAATATTTAGTTACTTTGTTGATAAATAACGGGTTGTGTTACCGCAAGTTTGATGAAGTTTTAGTCAAAAAAATCATAGCCGGTTATGGGGTCGTAATTCAAGCAATTAGATATTGTGTTGACATGGATTTGAGAACAATTGGGCTGGAGAGAATCATTCTCAAATTAAACAAACTCTTAGTGCATTTAGATGGCCCTTTGTTAAATTTCGAGTTAGTCAAACTTTATTTTGATTTGCAAAATGCGCTAATGTTGTACAGACAAAGCAGTTTTTTCAAAATCTGTCCCGAAATTGTTTGGAAAATATTTTTTCCGAAACTGAAACCGGAGTATTTGACCCAAAATGTTAAAAACTTGCTTTTGAATCAGTACGTGTTTGAAGACAGAATTTTCATGCAACTGTTTCAAAAAGAGGAGTTTAAAGAAGATCACACTTTACTACTGACTTATATCAGGATTTTAAGCAACATTATTAAGGTACGAGTAGTTAAAAGCTTCGTTGTTAGATTCACAATTATTGTTTCAGGTGAAATTTCAATTCAAAAATTTCCAATTATCCGGCGTTGTTTATTTATTCAATTATGTGTTTTTGCAACACCAAACTTGGGTCTATAAAGACGAAAATCAAAAAACACAAATCACACTCGAGTGTCTTAAAATTTTTCACTATGTCTTGCAAAAACATGTTGAGGATTTAACCGATATTGAATTGAAGATTTTCCAACTCTGTAATCACGCTTTTTTACACAACGTTTACGTAATTGATTCATTTCTCCGATTGTTTGTCAAGGAAAGGTATTATTTAATTTACGCAATGGAACGGGAATCGAATTGGCAATATGGCCCATCTTTGGATTCTTTGCAATGTATCAGAATGCAATTAGCTCTTCTATTATTGATCATGAATCGAAAAAAAGCTATTGGTGATTGTTGCTTCAATGAGAGACTACCATTTGTGGTAAAACCAGTCGCGTCGTATTTTACTAACTCCTATAGCCCCCTTATAGCCGAATTATCTTGCCGGTTTTTGGAAAAATTATCACAGGTAAAAAATCGTATCACTGGTAATAATTAGTTAATAATTGTTATTTCTAGGATCCATTTGTGCCTTTACTTGCATTACTTGAACTAGATCATTATCAAGTTCAATCATTATTTTTGGAACGTCTGCGAGACCCTTTGGAAGAAGAAAATGTGAAAATGGCAATAATCGATTTAATTAACACTTGTATTTCAAGTCAGGACGGAATGACTGCAGCTTTTTTCAATTTGAAATGTTTCATGTACTGGGATGGGGCCGAGAATGATGTTATAAATGGTGACAGTGTGAGCGACTTTATGGTTGATTATTTACAAAACATAAAAAAGGTTTGTTTGTATACAGGGTGCGCCAGAATTCCCCAGAGAAAATTTTCAAGTAAGGTAAGATACCAGGAACATAAAAAAAATGTTTAAAAAGTTCTATCTGTCAAAAAATTTTGACATTTGACATTTTTTCATGTCAATTATTTAGTAAATGTACAAAAATTTTGCCAATAAAAGCCACAAATAACATTGAACAGAGTTACAATTTAGGACACAAAAGCAAAAAAACTTGGAAAATTATTTTTCCGACAGAAATAAATAGAGTCAAAGTGCAAACTTTAAACCCTCATAACTTCGAAATTTTTATAGATAAAATTTTTTTAACATTTTATCCGTGTTCCTGGTATCCTACCTTATATGGCATTTTTCTCTGGGGCGCGAGTTCTGGCGCACCCTGTATAATTTTTGATGATTTTTCAAATTGATTTTAAATTATAGTCTCATGAATATTTTAAAAACCCTCTCCAACTGGGAATCCTCCGACTTCTTTACAACTTGTGGCTAAATCACCGAGAAAATTTAATCGAAAATATAGCAAACTTGAAGGATTTTTGGCCCGTAATGGTGGACCCGTTTTTCTGTGATTATAAACAAGACCTGGAAATTTACACAATCATCCTCCGGATAATTAATTTAGAAATCGGTGCTAATATGGACAAAGTTGATGAGAAACTCGTTAAAACAATCGATAAATTTTTCAAGGACAAAAAACGCATTACGAATTGGACCAAATTTGTCCTTGTGTCCTCTCAAAGTCACTCGAAAAATAAACTCGACTTGTTAAGTGTCTGGATGGAGTTTTTAGTATTGACTAAAAAAGTTATGGCTGATAGTTTCGATAACGACCTTAAATTCGTCTTGATTGATTGTTGTCTAGACGGGTTGCACCCACCTGAAGGTGGTTTTAATAACATCGAAACGATTTATCTATGGTCACAATTGTATTTGCTCCTAATAACCACGTGGGCAGTCTATGAGAAAAAAGAACAAGTGGTTTTGGGAAAACTACAAACGTTTTTACACGCACTTAACACTTATTACAAATATCTGACCCCGAAAATCAAGGAAAATATTTTATGTGCTATTAATAGGACTATCATTGATCTTCACGACTATTTCAGTGTTAATACTGCACAATTGTTGACATTTTTGTACTCAATTGGGCCGTTAATTGACGCGGAATATTATTATTTAGAGTCGGAAGTGTTTGAGACTGAGGATGATGCGGAAAAAGTGCGACGACTTAAACCTTGGTTGATTATCATTTTTATCGGAAATTCTATAATGGCACTTGATAATGTTGATGAAATTGGGTTGTGGTTTTACTATGAGCAATTTTTGCAACGTGTTATGGATTCTGTAGGGTCAATGTTGGAAAATAGTGGCACTTTACCGTTTGCGAAATTAGGTATTGATTTTCTTATTTCTTATGCCGAGTCTCCATTTGTTAAGGATTTCCTAAAGGAGGATTTATTTAGTTTCTACTTTAAACTCCGTCCGCCACCTCTCTCGATAAGTGTGGGGGAAGCAATTCTTGTAAGTGTCAATAGTTTGATTTTTTGAATTTATTTTAATTTTGGTTTATAGTCCGGACTTCCTGTCAATTTGAAAGAATGGTGGTTCATTTTAATTACTTTGATTAAGCTAAATCGTATTTTGATACAACAGATTGGGGATGCGATGTTAAGGACTTGCTTTTCGTTCATTACCCAACATGATATGTTACTCAAAGAGATTATTTCTTTGACTAAACACACCGTTGATATGTCAGCCTTGACTTTAGTTTGTGAAACTTTGAAACTTATTTTGGTTGTTTTGACCCAAATGCCACATTGGAGAGTCGACTCGCCGTATTCTTACGAAATAATAATTGTAAGTTTATGAAAAAAAAAATTACTTTACTAAGAGACATTCTAGGATGGTATTAAAACAACAATAAATGCCTGTGTTTTGTCAATCCTGGGATACAAAAAAATTAATTTCTATAATATTATCAAGGGAAAAAATTTGGACCTAATTGATTGTACCCCAACTAATTTACTAGTCTCAGTGTTAAACAAGTAAATTTGAATTTTTTTAAAATGGCTTAAGTCAAGTGACATTTTTAGACTAACAGAAATCGTTTATTGGGGATGCAGCTGTTTGAAGAAAACAAAAACTGACTTAGTAACCCAATTAAATGCCCACTATGAGACTGAAAATCTTGCATTATTATTGGTTGAAAACGACTTTAGTGTCCCCCGATTTGAATTACCGATTAATCCGAGACTGACTTATGGCTCTTTATTATGTTTGGCTGATTATTTGTGTAAAACACTTAATCAGGTAAGGGAATGTGTGTAATTTATCAGTACTTATCACTGTTGTTTTTTTAGTTATCTCCTACAACTCCGTCGAGAATATCAAGGAGTCGTCAAATGTCTCTAACTGATCTTAACGATGAAATGAAAGTCAAAAGTTTGGGGAAAATATTCGAACACTGTACTGCAACGTATGAGGAACGTATCGGTTTTATGGTTTATATCCAAAAAAGCGACGATATGCCGAATGAAAAATTCAGTTCGTTTTTGCATTACGACATGTCGGAATTTTCTGGTTCGACTTCAGCGGTTTCCCAGTTAGATTACCACTTGGTTAAGAATGCGCTTGAAGCGTTGATGAGTTTTCTAGCTGGTGAAATCTTCTTCGCGATTCGGAATCTTCGAGGGGAAGCTGTTTTTTCATATAAAAGAGAGTTAAGCTCCGAAATTCAGTTCTTTTATGAATTTGTTAGGAAGAGAACTAGTGAACAATACAGTGCGATGGTAGCGACACCACGATCAACATCTTCGATTGCACAGACTGAGCCTGACATCATCAAAAGATACATCATCACTAAAGTCATGGATAATGATACTAATGATATTGTTGATAATAATTTTGTACTCGTCATTTCCCAGTGGTTAATCAAATTTTGCCACTTGTCTAATTAAATCGTTTTGTGTAATTGAGTTTCAAATAAAACAATTCTTTTATAAAAATACATTTATTTCTGCACAGATTCAACAATTTTATAGTAATTAATACAAAAGTCATGGCTTAGCCATATAATTATTTTGAATCAGAAAATTGTTCATTACGGCCCTGATGTGGTTCAAATTGTTCTAAATTTTGCACTGATTCAATCAAATCCAACGCACTCTTAGTGATTTTTTTAAAACGTTAATTTAGGCACTTTTAGACCTTTTTTCTCTATGAAACTTTACCACTATAGAATTATGATTGAATTTTTGTTTTTTATTTTCACTCAATCTCCACCTTTTGCCGTTTTCTACTTTTAGTGCTTCCAACAATTTCCAGGAAAAAACAATTGCTATCGCATAACAAAGATGGTTAAAGTAACGTTTTACACGGGTGTGAGAGCGTTCAAGCTATCGTTACCACAGTGCCATTGTGGCATTTCCCTTTTGTTACAATTCCGCCCACAAATAGTTGAGTGCGTGGCCGTGGCTACCATTTCTCACCAAACTAATTCTAAACGTATTTTCGGTCGCAGTTACCACACCCACGAACTGATTTTCGGAACCAGTTACCAAACCCACGAACTGGTTCCAACTATGATGAGGTAAGATGCAGGGCGTGGCTACTCTACATAGCCACACCCATATTATCATCGAACCAATTCTAAACGTATTTTCGGTACCACATATAGTTATGTGTGTGGGCGTGGCTACCATATAACCACTCACCGAACTAATTATGTTTTCGGTACCAGTTACCACACCCACGAACTGATTCTAAATATGATAAGGTATAGATGCAGGGCGTGGCTATGTAGAGCAGCCACGCCCATATTATTATCGAATCAATTCTTAACGTTTTTTCGTTACCACAGTTCCATTGTGACATTTCCCTTTTGTTACAATTCAGCCCATTTTATTATCCAACCAATTGAAAACGTATTTGCGGTACCACAAATAGTTAAGTGCATAGGCGTGGCTACCATTTAACTATTTCTTACCGAATTAATTCTAAACGTATTTTCGGTACCAGTTGCCTGGTTCCAATGCAGGGCGTGGTTATGTGGAGTAGCCACGCCCCTATTATCATCGAACCAATTCTAAACATATTTTTGTTACCACATTGTCACGCCCAGGCTCTTGGTCCCATTATCGGGCTTAATTTAAATAAAAATTCGTGTTAAACAATTAATTAATAAATTAATTTTGATGATTATAATTTTGAAAATGATAGGCGGAAATTTTCCAAGGTCATCGTAACATTTGGCGAAATTCATCTAATTCATAAATACTCGTAGACAGCCTAAAAATCAAAATTTTGTTTGTTGTCTGAATGTTTTGCTCTATTTTATTACCTTCCTATACTATTTATAAGTGAAACAATTTCAGTTCTCTGTAATTGGAATTTCTTTTTGTCCATTGATAAGTCAGGCTGATCATCGAATTTTCCCGAAAAAAGAATTTTCAAGGCAGTTCCTAAACCTTGTACCTAAAAATAACAAAAACTAACTTCCTATTTTTTTGCATAAAATAATTACTTGTAATTTCCCCCATAATCTACATTTATCACACCCGACACAATCCATAATTTTGGAAACATTTCGAAAATGTTGTTTAAACTCGTACTTCAATTTCTCTGCTTGTTCGCTTCCTGAGAACATCGTGGTTTCATTAAAATGATCCGGAAATTTTTGAACAACATTGAGGAGATCCTTAACAGCAAGTTGCGTGTCCCAATCTTCGTTTTCATTCCCAGTATAAAATTCCTCTTTCTCTAAATACCGCGATGCTTTATTCAAAGCTCTCAACTCGAGCAAATAAACAAAGTATAAATTTCGCAGCCAATGGGGGCCTTCACCTTGTGTGGTTTCTTTTGAAAATCGTGTTAAAAATTCGCTTAAATTGGGCCCCCACTTCCCATCACGTTCGCTTAAACTAGTTTCAGAGAGCAAATATTGTGCACATAAATGAATGTTTATGCTAGCGTGGAGACCAGAAATGACTCGATAAAAAACACGTTCCTCCAAACACATATTGTTCAGTTTGGAACTTTGAATGTAGGGATTGTCGTTTCTCGTGCTTGTGAAGCAATTTTCCATGTAGATACTGTTCCAAATTCGGTGCGCGGATTTGCCTTTGTATCCAGTGAATCTTTCTGGATTTAGAAGCAAATCCACGTATTCTGATTCGCTGTCGTTGTCCTCAAGGACACAAAAATTGTCCTGAGCGTCGTCATAGGCGCTCCAAAGGACTATATCCTCTTGCACTTTTGCACTAATTGTAGTATTCAAATAACCCAACTCGGCATTGTGATCATCTTCACAACTTTGAGTCACATACTATAATTTTTTTCTGTTTTTAAGTTAACAACTTGAAATTTATACGTACCAAATTTTTTGAACTGTGATTTTCTAAACCACCTTTGAGTCCAACTGGAATATCTTTATCTTCACAAGCCTCCACGTGACAATATCTCATTGAACATCTGCTATCATCAGACCAAAAGGGACATGGTCGTCTTAAATTAACTTTATAAAATCTAAAATACCCCTTGTGGAGCAAACTACGTAATCTGGGGTATATTTTTACGTTATTAAAATGATCCACTGTATCCACGTTACATGAACAGTCGTCAATTTTTCCATGAAGCTTAAACAAACGTGCTTTTTATTTTTCATTGAAAATTCGAGACTTACCTGACAAAAACAATCATCATCTAAAACATTACCAAAGTAGCCGAATGTACAAGTCATAACTAAGAATAACGTAAGAAAAAACAAATCGTATTTTGCCCCCATTATTAAAAGTAGCAAATTTAGTAGTAAGAGAGGCGTTTTAACAATAATATTAAATTACTCATTTTCAAGTTTATCTACCATAACCTATGATCACGGTTCTACTATGACACACTAACATTATTCATTTCTAAAGTTGTTTTGGAAATTGCCACATTTCCTGATAACATTTTTACCATCGTCTAACAAAAACCCACAACAGTAAAGCCGCAGTTTAGGAATTTTTATTTCTTAAACTTGTCAGTAGAAATGTCAAAACTGTCAAATTATTTTGAAATGTTAAATTTAAATTTTAATGTTAGGGGACTAAAGACTAAACTATGCAAACCAATAATTATTTTCCATGTTCTTGTGTTCTCCATGTTCTCTACTGTACACATATAGTAGAACCTCTATAATTCGAACTAAATTTTTTATATTTAATTAAAATAAATAACCAACTGAAATATGTTAATTTATTCAAAAATATGTTAATTATATTTCAACTAAAAAAAATACGCAAAAATCAGCATATTAACCCTATTTTTTTTATCCAAGTGAATTTTTTCAGATTCTTAATTAAATAATCTTTACGTAAAAAAATCTTTATCCTTACGTTTTTAAAAAATGTACGCTAAAAAGTCGTATGACCAATAAATTTTAATAAAAAAAACGAATTTTCCTTGTTCTTTGTAAACTGATAGATTTTACTTTTTTAACATTTTGGTGAAAAACATAAGTGGTTTGGACTATTTCGTTCGGATTAAAGATGTTGCACTTTTTTCTTTTCCTTGTTAGAACAGATTTTTGCATGTTTTTTGAGATTGTTATTTATTATATTTTTAAATGAAACTGCTATAATGCTACCAACCTAAATAAAATCCTTTACACTAGACTCTGGTGTCGAACTAAAAGGTGACTAAAAAGTCAAAACCTGTCAAAAAAATATAACCTATAAAAATCTATCGTTAATAGCGGAAAAAATTAGACATTAGGTAATTTGAGATAACACTGCTGTGTTATAAAACCGTAATTTTGTATTTTATTATGTAAAAATTCCAACAGTTAAGTTTTTGGTAAGCATACATTATTTACGTAAATTGATTTTTTATTTACTAGAGGTTTTAGATAATTACTTAATTGTAACTGGGGGCTTTATTTAGTTTACAAGTTTTTTCAAGTTTTGAACCAGCTGGAGAGTATGCTGTGACAAAGAATGAATGGAAAATACAGATTGTTGTTCCTATTTATATCAATAGTATTTTTGTGGAAATGTTTCCAATATTTTGCGATATATTCTGACCATCAAGAAAATGAAATCAATATAGATTTAAATACGATTCCAAAAGTGAAAGTGTCAGTTTATTATGAAGCTTTATGTCCTGATTCAAAATTTTTTATAATCCATCAATTGTTACCTGTCTACGAGGAGTTAAAAGATTATATAAACATTGATTTTGTGCCATATGGAAAAGCCAAGGTTTGTGTTGCCAAGTTAAAATAACAACACCTAATTTTTACAATTTCCAGACTGTTGAAATTGAAGGTAAAACAATGTTTTATTGCCAACATGACGCAGTTGAATGTTTTGCTAATAAAATCCATGCTTGTGTAATTGATTTAGTCCCAGACCCGCTCATTAGGGCTAAATACATTGCTTGTATGATCACAGATAATATGATCCCAGATGATGCAGGAGAAAAGGTGATTAATGAAATTATTGCACCTAAAATTACCGAATTTGTTGCAGTGCGGACAAGAATTAGGTGTCAAGTACACCCCAATTGGTGACTGTGCTAACAGCGACCGCGGAACAACTCTCCTAAAGAAATATGGCGAAAGAACACATTCCCTGAGATCCACAGTCAAGTTTATTCCAACAATTGAACTGGACGGCAGCCAAACGATTGTTCCTCAATCAGCAATCCTGAAAAATTTTCACAAATCGGTGTGTCAGCTGTTCAAACGGAAGCCAAGACAGTGCAGCTAGATCTCAATCAAAAAAACCATTTTACATTACCAGTGTCGCAATTTGTTATTATTTTGTGAAATATTGAGTTATTTATGATGTTTAGTTGGTAATTTTATGTAAATTATTTGTAAACAATAAAAGTTTTCTTTTTACTAAATTGGAAGTCACAATCACGTGTTTATTTTAAATTTGGAGCACGCCCTGGTTTTTCCTATAAATTCGGTATTTGTCTATAATTCGAACTAGATTTTTTTATGTTTAATTAAAATAAATAACCAACTGAAATATGTTAATTTATTAAAAAATATATTAATTACATTTCATCTTTAAAAAAATACGCAAAAATCAGCATATTAACCCTATTTTTTTTATCTAAGTGAATTTTTTCAGATTCTTAATTAAATAATCTTTACTTAAAAAAATCTTTATCCTTACGTTTTTACAGAAGCCAAGACAGTGCAGCTAGATCTCAATCAAAAAACCATTTTGCATTACCAGTGTCGCAATTTGTTTGTTATTATTTTGTGAAATATTGGTTATTTATGATGTTTAGTTGCTAATTTTATATAAATTATTTGTAAACAATAAAAGTTTTCTTTTTACTAAATTGGGAGTCACAATCACGTGTTTATTTTAAATTTGGAGCACGCCCTGGTTTTTCCCATAAATTCGGTATTTGTCATAAATGTTGAGAGAAAATGCTTTTATCATAGAGTTCATGTATTGTGGTGTGCAATTAGAGAATTCGCATGTACGCGTGGGCTTATCAAATTGATAATGCGACGACATTTCTAATAATAATTTAAACTAAATTTAATTGTAGGATTAAAAATGAGATAACAGTTCTGTGTTGAGTCAAAGTCGGGATAAATTTGAATGCGATAATTAATGTAAAAAAATAGTTATTTTTTCGTTGTTTTTTTTTTTTTAATTTTTGATGGGTTGGTAAATTTTATCAAATTGATAATACGACGACATTTCTAATAATAATTTAAACTAAATTTAATTGTAGGATTAAAAATGAGATAACAATTCTGTGTTGAGTCAAAGTCGGGATAAATTTGAATGCGATTTTTAATGTAAAAAAAATAGTTATTTTTTTGTTATTATGTTATGGGTTGGTAAATTTTGCAAGAGTAAAATTTCCGCGATTGGGTGACGTCAGAGTGGGTTTGTCTCTGAAGTGAGATAGATATAAGGGTGAGTTGATGTGTGAGTGAGATGAGAGTTGAGACGTGTCACGTTGGTTGACGTTTAAAATTCCGAACGGCACTGTAGCCACTGCAACGCGCAGCCCCAAAGTCGGCCGGCTGAAGCAATATGGAGCTTATTTCGTGTGTGAAGTGTCGAATGGGATCGTTATTGTAAATATTGTAAATGTTTGATGGTAAGTATTTGCGAGAGGGCGTGTGGTGTGAGAGAGACGGAGCGGTGCATCGATTAATTCCGTTAGGTGACCCGCCATAGTAACACGCCTATGTCGGCCTTTCCTGTCAAAATTCGTGAATCAAGCGGGCTGTGAATTAGCCGATGACATGTGTCATGTGTATCTGTCAAGAGTGCGAGGCGATAACTTGACAGAGTGATTTTGGGTAATGTTGGGAAGTTGTAGGTGGTGACCGGTGCGAGAGCCCTCCAGTACCATGGGAAAGCTACTGTCGAAGATCTTCGGCAACAAGGAGATGAGGATACTGATGCTCGGTCTGGACGCGGCTGGGAAGACAACGATTTTGTACAAGTTGAAGCTGGGGCAGTCCGTGACGACGATTCCCACAGTGGGCTTCAATGTGGAGACTGTGACCTATAAAAACGTGAAGTTCAATGTGTGGGACGTCGGGGGGCAGGACAAGATCAGGCCCTTGTGGCGCCACTATTACACGGGGACTCAGGGCCTGATTTTCGTGGTGGACTGTGCTGACCGCGATCGCATCGACGAGGCGCGTCAGGAGTTGCACAGGATTATCAACGACCGGGAAATGCGCGATGCAATAATTCTCATCTTCGCCAATAAACAAGACCTGCCGGAAGCCATGAAGCCCCACGAGATCCAGGAGAAGCTGGGTTTGACCAGGATCCGGGACCGCAATTGGTACGTGCAGCCTGCTTGTGCCACTACGGGGGACGGCCTATACGAAGGCCTCACTTGGCTCACCAGCAACCACAAGTTATAGCACCCCAATTCGCATTCGTTTTAGTACATGACTGCTACGGAGCGCTATTTCATTAGTTTTGAGGAAATTCTTCAGGAACGAACGAGTGTCAATACACATTCCAACTGCCTATGCCCTAGGATGGTTGTGATTTTCACAAATCCATGAAGAATACCTCATATTTTGTAAATAAATTCAATTGTATTATGTATTAACATTCATTGTTTTATATTGTAAAATATTGTTGCTGCATTTAAACTTAAAGTGAGCGTTAAAAACTTCGTGTTCTTTACATATATGCATACCGTCATAGGAATTATTTATTGTTTCATTTGTAAATGATGAATATAGGTGACGATTTTAGGTGATATCTGTTCAATATTAGTTCAACTACTCATGTATTTATTATATTTTCTAATTTGGTTTGTTTGTTTTCTTTTCTCTCAACTTAATAGATATTACCAAAAAATAATACCTTTATGTAACTCAAGACTGAATAGATATAAGAAATTCTCAGCCTTTCATGTTTCACCTAAAATTTATGTTACGCCAAATTCTCATTCAATTATTTAATATCTTCTTTAAATGACAAATGCTTAATACGTCCAGTAAAAAATCTAATGAACATACAGCATTGTACACTCACTTATTTAGTAGAATTTTCATTGTATATATTTTTAGGGTATGAAGATTGTGTAGTGCAAATGAAATTTTTTTAAGGTGCACAGCTTCATAGATGTAATTAGACAAAAAATAACAGAATTTAATTTTTTATGAACGACGACTCATTGTTTGCATAAATTTGTTAAAAGAAAAATATTTCTGTTACCATGTATTGAAGGAAAATTAAAAACCATATATTTTTAGAAAAAACTATTTTGTTACTAATTGGCTTCTCAATTTTATTAGATAGTGATAATTTGGGAACAATTGTGCATTAATTTGCTTGCTTTTGTAAAATATGTACTGTCAACCACTTTTTAAATTCAAATAAATAGAAAATTCAAAAAATAACCTCCAGAATTTTATCAGGCCTAATTTGGATTGTATAACTTGTATATCTGTACCGTTATCAGTGGCTAAAACCTTGTCACCTCGTCAAAGGTTACAGCCTTAAATCACTCTGTTGTGCGTACATATTTAAATATTTTTTTAGTAAGTGTTTGGTTATATCTGCATGCAAAGAAGTCAAGGGTTTTTAAAAGTACAACTTTCAGTAGTTCCATTTATCGGGCCACCCTGTAACATGTGCAACTGTAAATAAAATTTATCGATTTATGATGTATTATCGACGAAATTTTTCATATTCACACCTTCCCAATTGCTTTTTTGAAGCGGGTCATTATTTGACCTCAGCGCGAGTCACAAAGTGCTGTATAACCGTAAATTAGACAGGATTAAGTGTAATTTGTTCAAGCGTTCAATTAAAACAGCGACGTGTGTTTATTTTAATTTCACTCAAAAGGGTAAAGAAAACATCAAAACAACTTGTTCAGTTACTTACACAAACTTTACACAGCAAAAACATTCGTAATGTCTATTATTTATTGGTAGTATGTATTAAAAAAACAAACTTTGTTGTTTTGTAATATTGATGCTGCAACCATCGATACGCATTTGCGTTCTTGGGTGTTCCTTTAAACTACATATACGTATTATTAAATCAAAACTTTGTTCATTTAACATTAATCTTCAAGTATCACTTCGTTTTTCTCTTACTATACCACTCATTAAGCAATCAAAAATGCTAATGATTCTCGGTCACAATATATCATTAATAAATCTACATAAAAAAAAGATTTGGAATTACTTGAAACGAAAAACAAGTCCAAATTGACTTGTGGTTTCCGCGGTTGAAAAGAGTGAAACCTGGAATGTTTTTTTCTATTTTATAATTTCAACTGTATCCTAATATTCTCAATGAATCAACAGTTTGTTATACGATCCGAGTCGAATCAAATCAATCGCATTGTTTCATAAATAAATGCACCGCTTAACGATTGTGTCGGATGGAGAGAGCCGGTACCGGTGGCATTTGTTTTTTCCAAAAAAGTAAAACTAGAGTTTTTTAAGCGCAAAAATTCGTATTCCACTGTCCAGTTTCTTAAAAACAGTAAGGCAATTACGACACAGTGCGATCAAAAAGTCTTTCTATCAAGTAGACGACGTAGGTTGTATGGCAGTTCGTATGTTATCTAGATGTCAAAAAATTAAAACATTGAGCTAATTAAATTGAATTATTCTATGAAACGTCTAAAAACAAACTAAAATAAGATTTTGTTGGTGTTTATTTATAAAAATCGTTCACCACGATTTCCTGTCATAATTTACATAAAAATTATTTTCACATTTCTCAATTGTCATTGTGACATTTTATCTTCCACAGACATACGTTTGATACAGACTTTTTGGGTCGCACTGTATAACACATATTGAGGAAAAAGTTTAGTTTTGAGACATTGGTGATTTCAATGATGGTGCTGTTTGTAAAATAAAAATTTTTGGTAGGTAATTCAGTATGTCAAAAGATGATTGCAAGCGGAAGTCATACTAATTATCGAGGTTCTTTTGAAAGTCGCCGTCGTGGTCAATATTATGTTAATTTATTAGCGCTTTAAAGAGTTTTATATTTTCATTCTAACCGAAGAGCAAACATCAGTCTGTGTGAGGTAAATCGTCATTACAATGATTGCATAATGAAATAAAACAGTAGAATATATTAAGAGATTAATTATGATCGTAGGTTGCGTATTTGTGCGAGGAGGGTTGTATGTAGGATTATCAGTGGGGTTAGATGTATGGAGTCTATTAGAGTGTCTGTATATCGTATGATGGTGAGAAAAAAAAACATAAGTAATGTAATTTGGAGAATTTACATTCTAAACATATACTGTGGGTGGTCTTCGTTCGGAGAAACTCGACGCCGGTCGCCTGTAGAGAGCGACCCAAGGCATTGCGATTACAATGAACGGGCAACAGCTTAACAGTCGGCTCGTCAGTCCAGCTCGCAGTTGAGTTAGTTGTTGTAGTAACTCGTGAGTCGTGTGTTGCTGTTGCACTGCGTGTCACTTTGTTGTTGTTTCTCCCCGTTAAATGTCTTTTGGTATTGGGTCATCATCGGTGGTGTCGAGTGGTGGTGTTGAAAATCGTCGAGTTTGAAGATGCTCGACGTACGCGCTAGGACTATAGGGCCCATGGTGCCATGGTCGTCCAGTGCCGTGGTCTGTGAAATGCGCGGTTGCGCCCGCTGAAGAGGATGGCCTCCACGGCGACGTCGGAGTCGCCGGGGCGCCACGAGTCGGACTTGTACACGCGGCCGGGATGGGTCGACGCCGCCGTCGCGCTGGACCAACTCGATCAGGTAAGAGATGACGGCGTCCCGGCGCCGGGCGCCGCGTCAGGTGTGACAGATGATTTGGGCCAGACCTGATTGCGGTCTGGTGGGCGATGTGCCGTGTTACGCTAGCCTTGGTGGGACCACCGGGTTGGCCGCGTGTGTGGTCCCCAGCTAGCTTAGCTGCTTAGCTTACCTGCCCGCACCCCGCAGCCCCCGCAGCCGCCCCCTCCCTGGATCAGGACCGCTCTCAGCTTATCCGTTTCCGGAACTAGCAACTAGCCACAGACACCCTATTCACCGCAAACTTCCCTCTTTCAACGATCACGCAACTCACTTCTAAGCATTTTTAGAACCGTTAAACTCGTCGGGGTGGAAATATCAACATTTTGTTTTTAATGCTCCTCTTGGATTTTAACTTTCTGTTTCATAATAAAACTTTGACTAAATTGATAAGTTTTTTAAACTTGTGGGAAGTAGTAAAGAACCGGTGATTAGAATAAAACTTTCCATAAAAAAAAGATTTGTTGTGTGTAAATGTACTTCTGGCACATATAACATAAATATGAGGCAATATTTGAACCTCAAAATTGATAAGTCCTCGTAATGTGGGTATGGAAAATTATTTTTTTTGTAATAACTTTGGAACCATTTGTTATTATAAAACATACCTTTTTGGGCTAGTAATTACGAAAACAGGATACATCTACTCAATTTCCGGTTTCAGCAGTTGCAGGTCACATTTTCTGTGTTTTTACGTTTTTTTTAAAGTTATTATTGCTTAAATCCAAAGAGTAATCAATTTTGATTAATAAACGCATAACATATTATACCACTAAAATGGACCGTTTTAAAGATATTTTAATTTAAAGTGAGGACTACACGCTGAAAATGAAAATATGAATTTTGAATAAGTGGTATCCACGGCAACCAATGACCATGGTCACATAAATCCCTGATACTTTGACGATAAATTTTTGTGAAGTAAATGCTACGAGATACATTTGGATTTATTCTAAGTTATGCTTGGTAAACTCTTTTATTAAATATTTTCGATTAATCGTCTAATAATCATCCAATTCAAGTTGACAGATGCTTGACAGCAAAATATGTGACCTTGGTCATTTGTTATATCACTCATTCAAAATTCATACTTTTTGCTTTCAGTGTTGTGTAGTTCTCACTTTAATTAAAATATCTTTAAAACGGTCCATTTTAGAGGTATTAAAGGTTATGCGTTTTTTATTCTATTGTTTTGACAAAAAAAAAATTATGTTAAAACACTGAAAATATTGTAGATTGAGTAGATGTATCCGGTTTTGGTAATTACTAGTTTAAAAGGTATGTTCTCGCAAGTAGCCATTCCAAATTTTATAATATTTGGTCAAATGGCTCTGAAGTTATTACAAAAAAAACAAATTTTCATACCCACATTCCGAGGACTGTAAAATTAAAATTAACATACATCATTTTATAGCTCATTTTTGGGGTTCAAACATTGCTTCATATTTGTGAATAACCCTGTATATAACGGTGAGCTTATAAAAAACTAAAAAAATAACCGAAGTTTTTTAACCTTATGAAAAGTAGTAAAAATTGGCCAAAAAGTGAACGAAACGCCGGTGTATTTCCAATGCCAAAAAATTTGTATTTTTATTTTAGAATAGTCACGAGTGCCAAGTTGGGTTTAACAACACAAAAAATAACGTTAATTGAATTAATATAACGTCTGTAAAAATTCCTGACTACGCCACTGGCGCAGTTTCACTCAAACTAATAATACACAACGAATCACATTTGATGTACCGACAGGTCACTCATCCAAATCTTCTTACGAATCCTAGGACCTGGTCTATTAATTATAGTCGAGAGATGAAAAAATCTCGACGTTAGTAGCGCATAACAGATGACATTTATATTCCGACTACTCTCTAGTCTTTATGGAATTGGAACGGTCTTGATTCATCATACACCATTTAAAAGGAAACGGTGATTCTCATTTGAAACGTACCTTGCAAAAATTTATTGCTTTAACACATACTTTATAAACTCTATTTGATCCAATCAAATTTCTATAACCGGTTTGACC